CATCTTCTCATGTTGCGTGGGTCAGGCCTTTAGGTTGAAGGTTCGGGGTATGGCCCCTTAATAAAAATATCTGTTTCGGTTGAGACACCTGGGCAGTATCCCATCCCTCACACAAATCGAATGATTAATGTGACGTATATCTATCTGGTGCCACTTTGAATCAATATTTATGTGCTTAAATAAATAAAATACTATCCTTAGGTTATGCTTTTTTTCTGCCTCAACTTGCCAAATACTAATTCTTTCATAAACCTTCAACTTCCTTGTTTTTCATAATCCTAGGGATTACTGTTGATAGGCTACATGTAAGTTATATAGTCCGCATATATCTAATTTTATAATAAAAGAATATCTCAGTCGTTCGTAATTAGGAATTGTTGAAGTCTACAGCCAACTTTATATATTGTCATACTCTCGAATTTCATTGTTTCTATTACTGAATGAATGAAATCAAACCAATCGGAATGTAGTATTAGATTAAGATTAGTACTTGTTTAAAAATGCCAATGTAAAGAGTTTTCTTTAATATATATATAAATATATCTGAACTGAGATTCAAGAAACATGTTCCTCGTTTCTTGTTACTGTTCTAAAGTTTGAGGTATTTAGTGATTCGTATTTAAGTTATTACAATCTTCAACAAGTTTTGTTTTTGAAAACTGTGTTGGACCAACAAAATTGATTTAGTATTGCGACAGTTGAGCGGTGTATTGTTTATTATGCAGGACAATCTGGCTACTGGGACCAGAAAATAGAAATGAAACTCTTTTTCTTCACTACAGTAATTACCTAACAAGATATAGACAGGTGAAAAGCATCATTGTCCATTACCCATTTTGTGTTTTCTGCGATTATAAGCTGACACTGCGTTCCATGACCATGTAACCTTCTGTCTTCGACTATCACTGATACTATTTCTATAACTCAGCAATTAATCTTGATAATTTAAATCCGTGTGGTGATATGTTGCGTTAAGTTGAACAAAATTATATATACGTGTCACATTTTACGTTACTTATCTCTATTCATATATCTGCCCAAAAAAAGACTCAAATGAACTAAACAAGGTTACGATAAATATAATAGAACGAAACGGCCGTCCAGTGCTTCCAGGTTTTCCATGGTGGTCTAGCTTCAATTGACTCATGATCTCAACTGTTTAAATTACTACAACCTCCACAAAACCCCTTCTGATAATAATCAACATATGCTCACTAGTGACTAGCTTCAAGATATATATCCTGGAGTTCTAGTGAGAAGCAGTGAACAGTGGAGTTCAACCTGGTCTGTTGTGAAATAATAACTCACTGAAGACAATGGTGGATGTGTCACTCAATTTCGTGGATTAGTGGAAGTTAGATATAAACACCGTTGGATATCTGCTGGATCAGTGGTCTAGAGGTTAAGTGTTCAAGCACGAGAGTGATAGGTCGTGGATTCGAATCTCGCGAGATGGGATCGTGGAAGCGCATTGCTGAGGAGTCCCACAAAACCCATTCTGAAATATAATTCAGTTTAGTAATAGTTTGTTTACCTTTAACTACTATAAAAATTGTAAGTAGCCACATTACAATCAACAACAACAACAACAAAAAAAAAACCCCAGCTATCGATGTATTTTCTAGACAAATCAATCTATTCAGTTAAGCTGATCATATACATTAGAATAATGTACAAATATATTAACCAAATCATACGTAATAAACAAACAGATACTCATATAAAACTGAAGAAAAATGTAACAACATACTACTAACAACATAATAAATAAACAAACAAACAAACAAAAAGAAAAGAAATTCATAAACACTACAAATATACACATTAACATCATTGGTTGGAAGTAATAAAATGCACAATTGAGGAGAATGTAAGAAAGTCACTTTCACATTGTTTCGTAAATATACAATTCGAATAAATTTATTCTTTTAAAAGAAAAACTAAACAAAACAAAAAAAAAGAAAAAAAACTCAACAAATACATGAACTAAGAAAAAAGAGAAAAAAACTAGAAAAGGATAGAATGAAAAAGAATCTATCTTGTTGATTTACCGTATTGATCTGTAGGTTAATGATGATGATGATGATGATGATGACGATAATGACAAGACGAAACTCTAAGAAAAACATTCAACAAATACATTAACTAAGAAAAAAGAGAAAAAAGAGAATGAAAAAGAATCTATCTTGTTGATTTACCTTATTGATCTGTAGGTTAATGATGATAATAATGACAAGACGAAACTCTAAGAAAAACATTCAACAAATACATTAACTAAGAAAAAAGAGAATGAAAAAGAATCTATCTTGTTGATTTACCTTATTGATCTGTAGGTTAATGATGATAATAATGACAAGAAGAAACTTTAAGATTAAGGCAGCTACACCATGAGAACCGACTAGGAGATCGATAAAAAACCAAGAGAAGAAAAAAAACGAGAAACATTTCAATGTTGTACATATATAGATAATTATACTATTAAAATGTTAAGGATTAATTCCTAGGAATAATGTTAATCAACAATTGATGATTATTAAACTATAGCGAAATATTACAAGTAAATCAATAAGTATTGAATAATGGTTATTTATTTTTATTTAATATACAGTCTACCCACTCTTGCTTCGGTTTGGGCACCCAGACAGTAACAAAGCCCTCACACAAATCAATGATAACTGCTACTCTTGCCTGATTGTTATGGTGTAGTATATATGTATTTGGGACCTCCTTGTACTAATGTTTATGTATTCGAATAAATAAATAAAGTTTATCCGCTTACATTATACATATACAATACTTTGTACAAGATCAAACATGAGACTTTGGCATCATATATAGTAAACTGTTAAAGTGTAAGTAAAGTATAAACTACTGTTCATGAATGGTAACTTTTGAGATCCATTATGGACCAATACTATACGTATATTTTTTTATCGTATAATTATTATGTAACTAAACGATTCATATCCGTGTCCCACTTATTATGAGCTTTGTTTTGACCTATGAACTATTATTATACGATTTACCATTCTTGAATTATTCCCTGTCTATTACATACTACCTCTCACATTCACAGTCACATCTGGCTAATTCTTGTACAAATGTTGTTTCCTATTTTATTGATACGATATGGTCTGTTTGATTGGTATATAAACTCAGTATGTTTGAAATAGAATTATTCATATGGCAGAGGCTGAGATTGGTGTTCTGGACTTAACTGGCTGGGCTAGGCAGGAAGCAGGGCCAATCTGGAATCTAGGCTGCTCATATGGGTTTACGCGTCATTGGTCCGATCGATAATTCACTGCTCTCTAATCGGCGGTCACAAGTTATAACAATAGATTTAATTCGTTACTTTGTAATATTGATAACAATATCTCTGAAATTCCGTCTCACTGAAACTCTAAATCAACATAAAATTCATTATCATTATAGGATTGTGGAGATTGTTGAGTATTAAATTGATATCATGAATCGACCAATGTTCTCGAAGTTCGAATGAGAAGCTGTAACTAGTGAATTTCAACCGTTTAAGACAGTTATTCACCGAAGATGATGGAAGATAGCCGTGCAATATCGTGGGTCGGTTGAAGTTAGACAATAACACCGTTCGATATCGGCCAGTTCAATGATCTAGAGGTTAAGCGTTCGCACGCGAGACCGAAGGTTCTTGGTCCGAGTCCCACACACAGGACCATGGATGCACACTACTGAGGAGTCCCATACAAGGACGAGACGGTCGTCCAGTGCTTCTAAGTTTCCCATGATGGTCTAGCTTAAATCGACTTATGAATTCAACTATTAGATTGCTACGATATCCACAAATCCCATCATTCTGATAATTACGATACATATATCCTTGATCATAAGTTTTCGATTGATTCATTAACGATTGCTATGCGATTTACTGTTTTTAATCTATTCCTAATTTATTATTCAGTCTCCCTTACATTCAACTACTTTTTGGCTTGACCATGTGTAATTATTATTTCTGCTTTTATGGTGTGATGCGGTCTGGTCTTCTTGTATATAAACTACAAAGAGACATTATTTGTTTAATTTGTTGTAAGTACTAAATTTTCAGTAAGGACTATGATATTATTGACAGAACACATAAACTAAGGGATTTGTTTCTATAAAAAAAGTCATCATTTTTCCACGAACCTTTATTAATGAGTACACGAGAAGATACGTTCTCATGGTAACTTGTGACAAAAGCAGGTTCATATATTTAATCGTTCTCATGCAAAACCTTTCGCTTATGTGCAGCATTTGATCCGGAATAAAGGCCTCTCAGCTTTTTAAAGTACATACTCTATAACCAGCTGATTAGATTAAGCACTGAACATGTTTTTCGTTTTCTAACGTTCCTGTTAATAAAACACTAATGGAAAGTCATGAACAAGATTCTCATGAGAAAAATTTGTAACTGAGAGACAGGATGAATGTTACAAAAGAGAGAGAGAGAGAGAGCGTGTGGTTCAAGGATTCTTAGTTATCATCTTCAACCACCTAAAATCGAAACATCTTAATATTGAACCAAAAACACATACACATACACACTAAACAAAAAGAAATACCAAAAAAAACAACGAGAATTTCACAATATGTCATCATCATTAACCGTTGGATGCCGGCTCAGTGGTCTAATGGTTAAGCCCTCACGCGCGAGACTAATAGGTTCTAGGTTCGAATCTCGCGAGGGGCGTGATCGTGGATGAGCAATGATAAGTAGTCCCATACTTGGGCGAAACGGTCGTCCAATGCTTCCATGTTGTCTATGGTGGTCTAGCTACAATTGACTCATGATTTCAACTATTGAAATTACTAAAAATCTCCACAAAATCCCTTCTGATTATACTTACATACCAAAATTCTAACAAAAACACCCCCCTTCAAAAAAAACAAACCAACACTTATTGACTACTACTCACTTGATTTCTAATGAGAATTGGACAACGATAGAGAATAATCCTTCTTTTTGACAATTCACTTGGTAATCATAATTTATCTGTAATAATATCTACTGTAACTGTTGAATTACAATAAGTCACTGGGATATTTTGAATGGGTAAATTTATAGTTTTGTCGCCGATTGGATTCTTTGAATTATCATTATTATTAGTAGTAGTAGTAGTAGTAGTAACAGTAGTAGTAGAAAGTATATTTTGACAATAGATTACAGCATCATGTATACTAATAAATGAATTATGTTGAATTTGTGATGATGTTAAATTATCACTTATTAATACTGTATAAATTTGTGGATCACATATAGTGAATAATATACGAATATCTAATTCAGCATAACTTTTAATTATCTACAAAAAGTGGAACACAGAGAAAGATAGAGATATAAATGATAAAAAATGATGAATTAAAAACATATTCATATGATACAATTTACGAAATAATTAAAAACTAGCCGCCAAATGCCCTGGTAGGGTCGAGAGTGGGGAGAGTCAGCTCGCTCTCTCTCTCTCTCCAAATGCTCTCACATGGCCGTGTGAATACAACCACGAACAGGGAAGTCCTACTCACTACATTCTCGTGGCACGGGTGTTGTTTATGAAATTGAGAGGATGAAAAGAAAATGTTCAGGGCTTTAATCGGATTGGTTGGCACGGAGAGTCCACCTATGGGAGTTGGAAAACCCTCATTCCAAATCAATGATGTACATGGGCTACAGGATCCTAAAGGAACAAATGGCGTATGAATCAATGGTTGGTCATCGGCTACCATGTGACTGCATCTGCTGACGTTGCTCCAATGCCTTGTGGATTAGACCTTTAGGTCGAAGGGTCGGGGTGTGGCCCCCTAAGAAAATCACCTGTTTCGGTTGAAGCACCTGGGCAGTATCCCATCCCTCAAACAAATCTAATGATTTATGTGGCACATATCTGTCTGGTGCCTCCTTGTACCAATGTTTATGTGTTTAAATAAATAAATAAACAACAATATGAATGATATAATAAGGTTATTATCATCTATATTAAGATAACTAGTCATAAAGAAGGCTCATTGTGGTGTGCCAGTGATGTCGACAGATATAAGTAGTATGTATAATCAATCAAAAGCGAAATGCCTGGAGGCAAAAGGTTGAAAAAATTGAAGAGAAGAGAATAAGAACAGAGATTGATTAGTATGGGAGCGAATGAATAACGAAGTCTGAGATGATTGATGGCTCTCAGATTTTACCAAGACATTCTGTAATATTGTATCAAAATACATTCGATTGTCGCAGCCTGTTATTGTGAAATTCATTTTTATCAACTTAAAATAGGTGTTGACGATACAACCCTGTCGTTAAAATATCAGCGATAGCTTCATACTTAAACCATACAACTTTGAGAGTGAAATATTATGATTAGGTGATTTATGAAGGTTTAAGTCATTTGAATGGGAACAATAAAAAAAAATATGATACGCTTAAAATACTTAATGAAATTTGAGAATATTAAGACCCAGTGATATGAACATTGTAAGTGGAAAATCTTTAACACATCAAGAACTAATTAAAACTTTAGATCACTGAATAAGTGTTTGAAAGAAGCTAAGGCCACTTCATAATGATGAAGAAATCATACTATGTCTACGTGTCGTGCTAGTTTACACTCGTCAGCAGAATGTACTACCAATCTTGGTGCAACTAATGCTCCCTCATGGATTCAAACCCATTTCACTCATATTAATAGGTTGAGAAGTAATCATTTAATAAAAATACACAAAATGAGGATAAAGAGGAGTATATAAGTGACGTAGTATAAAGGATTCCGATCGCGTCCAAACTAATGGCTTCCGTCATACTTCGTAGACTGCTTAAAAAACCCAAGAAAGATCGACTCTTGAAAAGCAGGCCGGTTTCCGTTCTGGTGGAGGATATATTGATCATATCTTCACCTTCGGCCAAATGTTAGAACACCGTCATACTTATTACAGACCAAAAATCGTAGTGTTTCTGGACATTATTATTGCCTTCAATTCGTTGAACAGGACTGGTCTATGAGGTTGTCTGTTAAAGAAGAGTGTGCCTGAGAAGTTTATTAACATCCTAAAAGCCCTACATACAAACACCTCAGGCAGAGTGAAGGCATACAACCACCTTTCTCCATTGTTCCATTCGAGCAGTGGGGTTAGGCAGGGTTGCCCAATCTCACCATTCCTGTTCAACTTTGCCATCGATAACATTCTGAAAACAGCTCTGATGGATGTAAGTAATGGTGGTGTGGATCTGTTGCCTGGAGAAAGACTTCTCGACCTTGAGTATGCGGACGATATTGTCTTACTGTGCGATAATGCCCAAGGCATGCAATCCGCACTTAATCAGTTGGCAATCAGTGTCCGTGGGTATGGTATGTGCTTTGCACCTCCGAAGTGCAAAGTACTTCTACAAGACTGGCAGGATTCCAATGCTGTACTCACCCTGGATGGTGAGCAGATAGACGTAGTTGAGATGTTCGTGTATCTGGGTAGCTGCATAAGTGTTGGTGGTGGCGTGAGTGATGAGATCAATGCACGAATAGTGAAAGCCAGAGCGGCTTATGCCAATCTGGACCATCTTTGGCGCCTTCGTGATGTTAGTCTGGCTGCAAAAGGTCGGATCTACAACGCATCGGTCAGAGCAGTTTTGCTCTATGTTTGTGAAACCTGGCCTTTCCGAGTTGAGGATGTTAGACGATTCTCTGTGTTTGATCATCGTTGTCTTCGAAGGATTGCTGACATCCAGTGCCAACAGCATGTTAGTAATGCAGAGGTTCGGCATCATGTGTTCGGGTACAGAGGTGATAATTCAAGTAGTGTCACCATCTTGAAACATTTATTTCGATGGATTGGACATGTCCCACAAATGTCAACACTGAGAATTTCACGTCAGACATTATTTGCCGACGCTGGGACAGGTTGGAAAAAGCGAAGAGGTGGTCAGTGTATGACATGGTGTCATGGTATGAAAGCTGTGCAGGAATGACTTCTATTGGTCCTTCAAAACTCTCTGGTTGGGGTCCTAGAGATGGTGCAACACAGTGGCTAGAGACGTAATCAGATATGGTCAGTGGAGATCCTACTGTAACTTTATTTTACTTCATAAAAAATGGGCGTAATTTCTTTAACTGGAAGAATTCCTTCTGGTTGTACCTTTGCTAACTGAAGTGCATCTCTCATTATTATTATTATTTCACTCTCATACACTAATTTTTTATAATGACGATAAAAACACTAGGTTGTCAAAGGGTATTCGAAAAAGTGAATCGTTCGGACGCCAATCTTGGGCTTACAGAAATATCAGAAGGTTGTGGATTTCCATTCCGAAAATATTCATGAGTGTGCACTGCTTAAGAATCTCATAATGGGACGAAATTAGTTAAACAGCATCTTTTTGATATTTGATAGTTAAAAATAGTTTCTGATGCAAAACAAATCAACACAGTGTTCATAATATTGTTATGCTGAAAAATTGTCGGGAATTCGAAAAACTACACATGAAATACAACAATTCAATACTTTCAATTATCAAAAATAGCGGATGTTACAGTTATCTAAAATTTTCACAGAATTGACCATCATTAATTCAATCAATGAAAAACTTACATCAGTAATAGTTCTCATACCGACAAAATCCAAATAAATCCATGATGATATATCTAAGATAATAAATTTCAATTGATCAGTAAGATCATTGTCATTTTTACTATCATTAATCTATTAGAAAATAGAATAAGAATACAAATAAAAACTTCTTTTGAAGATATCTAAGTAGTCTATTCAATAAGGAAATACATTCAATGAGATTATTAAGAATATCATTTTACAAGCTTTTCATATAGATGAATTTTATCCCATTCAAAATATTTCCCATTTTTTTATGGAGAAACATTTTTCCTATATCCATTCCTGTCATTCTCAACATCTATCAAAAGTTGCCATTGGTTAGATCACTGAGTAGTGACAGGTGTCATGTTTATTTAATCTTTTATTACTAATCAAATGCTGTCGATTAAATTGTAATGTGGTCGCTAGTATCAGTGTCTCAATATCAAGTGGATTAAGACGAGATGTTAGGTGGTTAGAAACAGTTGATAAGATATCCTGTTTAACCTACGTTTCATGGTAGCTAGTAATCATCATCAAAGCCTATCAATAATCATGACAGTGATCAATCAGTTGTAAGTACCTCACTTATACAGAAGGTCAGTGACATCGTGATTAACTCAATAGTATATTCTCTGACTATTGGGCTAGTTCCAATCCAACAGAGAGCTTAAGTCTCTTTAAAATTCTAAGTATGCTTTGCTGATGAGTTTTAACTAACACAAAAAACTAGGTCAGACAGAATTTTCATTCTGCTATGTCCAACTACTAAACATCTCACATGGTCTCTCATAAATACTTGGTCCTTCACCTTACCCATCATTAGATTATCTCAATACTGTCTGTGTATAACCATTTAGCGTTTCAAACACAAAAAAGTATCATAGAAAACTATTTCCAATGAATGTGAAATGTGATCTAGTGTGATGATCAAGTCATAAGCTATAAAAATGCTAACAATCACTCTTAAATATCTCTATATACAGTGTAGTAATCCGTGAAAGCGTTTGAACAATATAAATGATTATTCATTTCTGTTGGTTATATGTATTAACAAACAACCTCAATAGATCAGTTCACGTATTTGCTAGACAGATAATGGTTCACAAATATATTTCATCTTAAAAAGTGTTTTACTTAGCATACAATATGATCATTTAATTCATTTCGTATTGTTTGTTTGAATCTTCCTATCGATGTTTAAGACTGCAATTGATCATTCTCATATTGCCATATGTGAGTCCTACGAACATCAAGACAGTTCTAGTAAACGAAGCTGAAAGTTGGACAACTACTACAACCATCATCTAAAATGTACTGGTATTTATAAACAACTCTCTACGCAAGACATTCAATATTCGTTGGCGGGATACCATCAGCAACAACCTACTTCGCGAGAGAACAAAAAAACTACCAGACGAAGAGGAAATGAAGAAAATATACTGGACATGAGTAGGACATAGATTGCAGAAATCACCAAACTGCATCACGAAGCGGGGACTGACTTGGAATCCTGAAGAGAGACGGAAAATTGGAAGGCCAAAGAACACACTGCGTCGGGAATCGGAAACAGACATCAGAATGATGAATAGCTCAGTGGTCTAGAAGTTGAGCATTCAATTGCAAAACCGAAGGTACTGAGTTCGATTTTCGTGTTCGGGATAGTGAATGCGAAGCGCACTATTGAGAACTTCCATACTACAAGCAAACGGCCATTCAGTGCTTTTCATTGATGATCTACCTAAGATCATTTCGTGATTTCAACTGTAAAAATGCTACACATATCAGTGTATAATCTATTAGTGACTACAAACAACTTTCGACTTGGATGATTATTCACTTATATAATAATAATAATATAAAAAATAATTCGAGTCAATGAAACATGATTTAAAAAGGACAGTTATTTGATAAAGCTAATAAATAAATGAAAGTACTTTTACATAATCCATGTTGTGTACTGCATTATATATTACATTAAATAAACTGATCACATGATAATACAAATTAACAAGGTTGCTTCTATAATTAAAAATATGTAAAATTTGACGTTGTATCTGTATATTATAAACTAATAGAGGGCTTTATAGATGCTGTTAAATTTTGTAGCATTGTCATAACTGAAATCACGTGTCGATCTAAGCTAGACCACCATTTAAAACTTCGAAGCACTGGATGGGCATTTCATCCTAGTATCGGACTTTTCAGCAATGTGCATCCACGATTCTGCTCAAGGTAGTCGAACCCAGGATCTTCGGTCTCGCGCGCAAACGCTTAACCTCTAGGACACTGAGCTGGTCGATATCCAACAGTGACTAACTTTAATCGGTCTATGATCTTGCGCAACCTTTCATTCAATTTCTGAAGGGGACAGGTGTCTCACATCCGACACGAATTGGACTCCAATGATCACGGCTTCTCACTAGAACTCCAAGAAATCTATCTTGAAGCTAGTCATTAGTGAACACATGACTATTAGCAGCATGGAAATTCGTTGAAATCACGAATTGATCCACTGTTAGCCATCATCCATCTTTGCTTATAATGCTTGTGACTTAAACAATATCGAGGCAATTCGTATAAGATGCACATATGTCAATAAGTGACTGATCAACTGCAGTCCTAAATATCAATGGGAAGTTTCAAACAAACAATACAAAATGCACTCTTTACAAAATCTACACACACACACAGCATTTCAACCCCACTACTTCAGATTACAAATGCACACATGTTTCATATTCATCACCATACAAATAAACACAGTGATTTGTTATACAGAATCACCTTGACCAAAAATAACTTGACACGAACATATTCAAACTTTCCATGACCTTGTTTCCATTAAAAAATATTCTATATTGTTTCCTTTGTACTATTTAAACTTGTGTTCATTTTATTTCGGTTATTTATTTGTTTACTCTAAAGGAATAACATACATTGTCACAAAACGTTAGAAGTACAAATTTCTAATCATTCGGATATTATAAAAAAAACTGTAATTAATATTAAGAGGCTTGTAGTGGCATTGGACAATAACCACACAGTCCTCAAAGATGAACACGAGACTACTCGGTAAACAGATATTCAATATTTAACGCGGAGAAATACCTAACGATGGAGAAGGCGCGAACAAGGTGTTGAATTGATTGGAGTTGATCGAATGGCATGGCTCGGCCATGCAGGAGGGGTCTCTGCTGAATGTTACCTTATATCTTCTATTCATATTAAATATATTGTTCTTTCTCTAGCCTAACCTTGTTCTACATCATGTATTGGTAATTGATACGATACAGTGAGTTGGTGAAGTCGATGGTGTGACTTCCACGTAAGATCTTATAGATTAGGCAGTTATATCATGACAAATCTACAAATTTAAGATTAGGTCTATTACTAGAGCAGTACTAATATCATAGTACACCATAATTCTACAGGCTTATGGTTATTCAATTAAAGAACAATTAATCTGTAATCTAGTGAAATATTGATGTGGAAACTTAAAGCACTTCTCATTTTAAAAGATAATATGATTTTGGAATAAAATACGAAACTTGGGATCAGGTCAAGAAGTTAATCACTATTGAACTATATTGAATTAAACATTGTAGTCTTTTGAGATAGGTGACTATGAAATAACTTTAAATGATGGCTAGAGGAATAAGGTAATATAAACAAAGATGGATGATGGCTAGCAGTGGAATTCAGGACACGCGTTTCGTCCTATTTGGGGCTCGTTAGTTAGATGCACCTGCATTCCAGAGTTGGAGCTAGTGGTACTGGGTTCGAGTACCAGAGTGAACATTAACTCGGAGATGCAGGTACATCCAACTGACGAATCTCAAATAGGAAGAAACGAGCGTTCTAGATTCCTCTGCTAGCCACCATCCATATTTGCTTATAATGCTTGTGACTTAAGGCAATATTGAGGCAATCCGTGCAGGATGCACATACGTCAATAAGAGACTGATCAATTACAGTCTTAAACATTAATGGGGAGATTCAAACAAACAATACAAAAGAAATTCAAAGTAATATAAAGTTGAGGATAATCTCGGTAGTGATAATAATCACTTTCTTTAGCTTTCTGTCAATCTAGGATATAAACAATACTTCAAAATTCTTATTATACGGTTTTATACTAATGTTATACTATTTATATCCAGTGCATTTGGTCTAATGTTATCATTTTGAATAAGTTATATTTTGCTTCATTAACTTCATGTATTGCTGTGTTAGTAAGATATGTAACTAATTCAGCTGATATACACTTCTCTAAATAGTATATCGTACGGATCTGAAACTTGGATAACTACTACAACCATAATCAAAAAGGTACAATTATTTATAAATGGTTGTCTACTCATGATACTCAATATCTGTTGGCCGGATACCATCAGTAAGAGCCTACTATAAGGGAGAACAAACCAGCTTCCAACTGAAGAGGAAATTAGAAAAAGATGATGGAAGTTAATAGGATATACATTACGGAAATCATCAAACTGCATCACGAAGTAAGCGCCAACTTGGAATCTTGAAAGGGAAATGGAAAAGAGGAAGACCAAGGAACACACTACGTTGAGAATTGGAAGCAAATATCAAAAGAATGAATAGTAAATGGAAAGGTTTGTCCACGACAGAGTTCAGCGGAGAATGTTGGTGGACGGCCTGTGCTCCTTCACGAGGGTTGACAAGTGTAAGTAAACAGTATATCATTCTAAGTCACAAACTAGTGTTGCAATGTAGCTCTTAATTAACTAAGCAACAACAAGAACATTATATTCTTGTTGTTCCGTTGTGCTTTTTACACTTGGATTAATTTTGATTTGATTATTTATTTACTCTGAAGAAGTGGCTTACACTGAGTTACAAAACGTCATAAAATCTAATTTTTCTACTCATTGGAATATTATTAATTTCCAACAATAACCAATAAGACATTCAAATATATTCACTGATAAGTAACTAATCTCACTTTAAACATTTCTAGATTCCATTAATTAACACTTCATATCATTAAAACAACAACAACAACAACAATAACACAGACACATACAGTAAACTCAATGCCAATCACACATGAAGATTTGAATACCTATGGAATGGATTACTTGATATGAGAGTATAACCAAGAACATAGACAATAGACATTATATAACAATTGTAAAAAGCGAAAACTGTCTTACATCCGTCGTAAGTTGTGAAATATGTGGAAATTTACCACAATCTTTCTTTTTATTCAATTTGATTCGTTTTATTACATTTTTAACAAAAGACAATCGATTATGTCTATTATGTTGATACTGATTCAGATTTTCTTCATTAAGTTGTTGTTGTTGTTGTTGCTTACGGTCCAATTGTTGTTTGATACGTTGACGTTGTTTAATCAATTTATGTGGATTAATATTGGTCATTTGATATATCCAATTTTGAAAAGATTCTGAATTGGCATAATACAATGGACCACCATATTTTAATATAAGAATATTGGGAAGTTTTATAGCCTAAAAATGAATTATTAATATTAAAAAAAAATTATTATTAGATTTATGTAGAAATTTGATTTTAACATGGGTTGTGATATTTATCAATATCGAAAGTAGTTGAAATATATGCAGGTGACTATCAGAAGTTAGTAGCTAAGTGGATAACGTGATGGCGTTTGAAGCGAATGGTACTGGGTTCGAGTCCCAGGGTGAATATTAACTCTGGAATGCAGGTACATCTAGCTGACGTGTACCAAATAGGACGAAGCGGCGCGCGTCCTGGATTCTACTGCTAGCCACTATCTATATTTGCTTATAAAGCTTGTGACTTCAGGCAATACCGAAGCAGTCCGCACAGGATGCACATATGCCAATAAGAAACTGATCAAGTGCAGTCCTAAATAACAATGGGAATATACAAATAAAACAACACCAAGTGAACTGAAATGCTAACTAGGTTTAATAAAATATCATTTCTACTACAATCATAATCTAAGTATATCAAAAACAGTTAGTTCAAATCACAAAGATAAGTTTTCGATTTAGGAATTCAGTAACTATTAGTGAGCATGGAGATTTGTAGAGATTATAGTATCTTGACAGTTGAATTCACGAGTCGATTTAAACTAGACTACCACTGAAAGCCTTCAAGCAATAGACGACCATTTCATCCTAGTATAAAACTCCTCAGCAGTGTCCATCCAAGATCCCGCAACAAAGGGACTCGAACCAAGGACCTGCGGTCTCGCGTGCGGACGTTTAACCTCTGGATCACTAAGTCGGTTACCATCCAATCGTGTCAAACTTAAATCGATCCGCGATCTTACGTAACCCTTCATCCATTGTCTGAGGTGGATATCTGTCTCACACTCGACAGTATCAATTAGCCTAGGGCAAAAAAAGACTGAAGGCTTTTTGGTCACGGTATTTGCAAGATAGTTCAAATAAATGTATGGTAACATCAGTGATAGTGCCTGTTTGCCTATGTAGAAGTTAAAAGTGTTTGTCATTAAGTCGTCAATTAAAATTAGTAGCAAATAGAAAACTAGGAAAAAACTTGATTAAACTAACTATTTAAGAGAAAAAAGTATGCCATATATCAACGGGTTTCGTGCTACTTGGAACTCGTCAGCAAGGTGTACCTGTAATCTTAAGGGAACAGGTGCTCCCTGGCGGATTCGATCTCCTATCACCCAGCTTCTCAGTCAGAGACGTTACCACTGTGCTATCCGAGCCGCGACTGACCTCCTGTGGGACTGAGATGTAATCACAATTAATTGATCACTGGGTGGTGACCAATGTCATGCGTGTCTAGTCCTTACTAGTGCAGATCGAATGCTATTGATCATGTTGCAATGTGGTCATTAGTCTAGGTGACTCGACACTACGGGCACTATTGTGAAATTAGATGGTGGTTGGAGGTAGTCGACAGGAAAACCTAGACCCGGGTTCTCATTCTAAATGATAAAAGGCTAGTTCGAAACATAACTAAATAAATGTTCAACATTATATCAACAATAAATTCTACACAAACAAATGTAAAACAGAACGTCAAGTTACGAAATCGATTAAAAGTTGAGTAATAAGCATAGTACATAATCTAATAATAACGTGATAATCTAGTAGTAGATAAGTAACTTACTTCATCATATCTCTTTAAATCAACATAAATATTTGTGTTGGGAATTTGGCCAAGTTCATAATAATATGTCGACTGTGTACGATATAATACAGTTAGTAGGGAGAAACACAAACCAGTTAATAAACCTATCGGGACATCAATAAACACGGTGGCCATGAATGTTACAAGCCATATAAGCTTAAAGATTAAAATCAAAGAAGAAAAAAGAAATTACTAATATTTTAAAAAAGGTGTTCAATCGAAAAATGAATAGAATGATACATGAATTTGAGTATGGTATGACCGTACAGAAAAAAAAACCGTTTGACAAAGAAATTTATATACATCTATGAAAACTACTGATTTAAAATTTAGTAACCCACATATTCAAATTATGATGGGGATTGTATAGTGTTTAGCTCTTTTTACTTTTCAATGATTTTGTAGTTCTGCTATGTTTGAAGAGATTACGAAATCGCCTAAACCGATGAACCGAACGAAAGATCAGCGACACAACGATAAACTAACTATTCCGATATTTCCCTGGCACGCTAACTAGAAGAAGAAGATCAGATTCAGAAGAGGGGAAGTATATTACACAAGCAACCAAGAGTACGAACGAAAACAAGCACACCATTTCAGCGTATATATATACAGTGTAGATATGTCCTTAGGAAACGTCACGAAATAGCATATTAAAAGAGATAACAAACGAATGACATTTAGGGTCCTTCCAATTGGGGAATACAATCTGAAGGTAAAAATGGACGTTGTTGCCGCGTAAACAAGAAATTCAAATTTCTAAAATAAAATTACAAAAATAAGATGTTCACCAAATGAGTTCTGATGATCTAGCGTACCCGAAAAGTTCTTACTTATTTATAATGCACGTTATGAAATTGTACAAAATCTCAGTACAACATCAAGATGGTTCAGATAATAAATAGTAGAAATAAAAATAATAATTGTAATCTATGCAAAGGAAATAATTGCAAAAATACCCATGTACACCACTTACCATATCATATATGGAAACACGATATAATGCACGTAAATCCATAATTTGTAAGAAGATACTTTCAAGCGATACGACAATAATTGATGATAAGATACACTAGAAACCATCATGAAAGTATGTCAAAACAATAAAAAAACAGAAGAATACAAGTAAATAATGAACAGTTGATTGGCAGTAATAATCTTTTAATATAAACACCCTATATTAATATATATATATATATCAGTCAGTCAGCTACAACGTAGAACCAAACACATATATGCATCGGTCCAAGTTGCCATACCTCATCAGCACAACAAGATGAACACTGAATTCATAGTAGTGAGTTCAATGGTGGTATTATATTGAAGAAAGATTGTATATAATGATATAGTACAGGAAGAAAGAATCAGTTGGTAGAAAGAAAGATATAAATCAATTTTAATCTCATCGTTTAACGGAAGACAGAGAGTGCATACACCGATGCCATTGTGATCGATTCTGAGCCATGTCACAGAGAGTCTCCAACCATTGGTTACGATAGTCACGCGGACCCCAAACAAGTATATATATTATTGACATGCGACTGACCTCACAATTGATTATAATTTAAAACAACTTTCATAGTGGATTATTTATTGATCAAAGTTCTATTCATTATTTTAACAGTTTTAAGATTAACTTATGAGTTCAACTATTAAAAATGACTACAATCTCCACAAATCCCCATTCTGATAATAATCATGTGTTTACTAGTGACTAGATAAATTTCCTGGAATTCTAGTGAGAAACTGTGACCAATGGAGTTCAGTTGGTGTCGGGTGGAGACAGTTATTTACCTCGCAATGGATGAAGGTTTGCGCAAGATCATGAACCGATTGAAATTAGACATTAACACTATTGAATACCAGCCAGTTCCATTATCTGGAGGACAATGGTTCGCGCACGACCGAATCTATTGGTTTCGAGTCCCTTTAAAGCGGGATCATGGAAGCGCACCATCGAGGAGTCCCATACTATGACAAAATGGCCGCCTACTCCTTCCAGGTTTTCAACAGTAGTCTAGCTATAAATTTAAAATGTGTTTAACTTCATAAATTCTGATACAATAAGGTTGATCCGATGAGTTTGTGCTTTCAACTGTGAAAATGCCATAATCTTCACAAGTCTTTCATACTATCGACCAGCTTCACAAATCATTGGAGATCAACCAAGGTTTAAAAGATTTAATCATTGGTTGTTAAAAGCTGATTTTAACTTTCTTACTTGTTAAGTTACAAATGTCATTCCAAATTCCAAATAATAGAGAATACTTAATTCAATATCGTTTAAATGAAAAACAATCAAATAATCTCTTGAGCTTTAAATACAACTTTATATAATTTAGCATAAAATGGTTGTAAGGATAAGTTAATTTGTAGTTTTATATTACATATTGAATTACAGTGGTCTTGACTGCTGTTAGAGCTATGAAGGCGGTTTTCACTTCCCAGTTGCCCACACCGTGGAAGGGTTCTTCTGGAGGTACCTGAAAAGGAATTTGGATTAAAGGTGGTCTTAGTGACCTGAGAGAGTGAACTCAGTGACCAAGGGACAACTGCTTGAGGTTGGTCACACACGACCTTGTTATGGGTAATTTTTGTGTTAGCTCCGTACTTATTGAGACCTTACCGCCGGAGACGGATATCCGTGGGATAAGGCGAGGTGTGCATTTTTAGGGTCGACCTTTTCTAACCTCACCCCTCCTTGTGGGAAGGCAGCATCGCTGTCATGCTGGTTGTCTGAAGGAAACACCTTACTGCTGTCACACCTCTGTACAGTCAGCAGTACGACTTCGCCTTCGGACCTTGGGTTTGTTGCTTTTAGTCTTACCGCTCTTCAACCGACCTGTCTGACATGGTAGGACCTTGAGGAACGGTTGTTCCAGCCAGTATAGCTCGGTTGCTTCATCACGATAGGTAAGCCCGACCACCACGTCAAGGTAGCAACAACGGTCGGGTACATATTGAATATAAATAAGCAACTATTAAAAATAAAAATAAAAACATTGAATAGTTGCTTCATTTTAGTAATGGTATCTATACGGTAGGACACATTCATGATCCTATCAGAAACATCTATTGATTAGATTTCTTCGTTTTGGGAAAATAAACAATTTTCAAAGTTAAAAATGTTAGACATTGGAATAATGAACTCAAAGATTTCAAGATCATGACTTCTACTAATAATAAAGTGTTGGATAAGAGTACTTTAACAATAGAGTCTTATACTGAGATGCAACAGCTGTATGCAGTACAAGTTTCATTTGCACTAGATTACATAATTTAAATAAAAGGATCATTCAAAAGAGTTTATGAACTATGGATATGAATAAAAGAACCTTAATGAATATGCTAAATAAATTAAAAAAAACTACATACCTTTGGAACAGTTTGTAAAAATTGTCCAATCACAGTAATAACAAGTAAAAGAATACAACAAGAAATCAAAGAAGCAACCTATTCATTCAGTAAAAAAAAAAGAAGAAAGAACACATTTGTTTAATAACTGATAAATAGGAATAAATAAATAAATAAGCTATGGTGTAATGATATATGTAGAGCTGTGTAATCTCTGTATTTAGGTTGAAGTTCAGCGATGTTTATAGTTTGTGCCCATAGATTCCGTTTTACGGCCGAGGGTGGGGAGAATCAGCTCTCCCTCTCGAAATGGGCTCGAGGATCCTTAGGGAACAAATGGCGTATTGTTGGTGACCGGCTACCATGGAACCGCATCTCCTCATGTTACTCCACTGCCTTGTGGATTAGGTCTCTAGGTCGTAGGCTTGGGGTATGGCCCCCATAAGAAAATTACCTGCTTCGGTTTAAGCACTCGGACAGTATTCCAGCCCTTACACAAATCGAATGGTGAAGTGTAACGCATATATTTGGTGCATCCTTGTATCAATATTTATGTATTTAAATAAGTAATAAAAATAAATGACTTACGTCATATTTGCTTAATCCTCTGTGCTGATTAAATTCTATTAAGCCAGGTTTCATACTGGTTGAAACTCGTAGCTAAGGTTTACTTGAGATGTTTGGCAGCATTTGTTCGATAGGGAAGCTACACGTAGTTTTAAATAATAATTTTTTCTGGTTAGCGTTTTTTTAGCGAGTTGGTTTTCTACGAGATGGGGTCGCTAACCCCATGCCCAACCCTCCTCCTTTATCCGGGCTTGAGACCGGTAGTAGCCCCCGGAGGGACTCCAGGTGGAGTTAGGAATATTCTTCCAAAAGATGATTGGATGGAACATCTTCGGCTCTTTCTGAGCTTCATAGAGCTTCCTCGAGCTCACCCGTGGACCGTCCGCACATGAATATTTCAGTTTCATTCACTGGCAGATTGATAAGTCAGATATTCCAACAATATATCCTTAGAACAAGTCGAAATTCAGACTTCTAAGACACACTGACGTCAGGTTATATACTACGTAAGGTTCATAACAATTAATAACATACTGTACAAACTACATATTCGACCAAATCTAGGTTACTGAAATTTTACAGTAAGTAGTATTCGCATTAATAAAATTAGGTTGAAATTTGTCCATCGGCGCCTTATAATTCATATTCTTGGAAGTTATTATACTTAACACTGCACATTCAGATGCATTAAGCTAGGACTTGATCGTTCATGGGAGCGCCCAAGTCCTCGGTCCCAAGAAAATGCTTATCTGTAGACAGTCTGCGCAAGACTAAACAAAGGAAAGTAATGACAGAAGTCGACAACAACTGAACAAAAGCAGATAAAGTCAAGACATTTGCTAAATATACAGAAGCAAACAATCGAGTGAAGAACTGTATTAGAGTTGATGAACGGAAAGATATAGAAGACCTGGCAACTACAGCAAAAGTCCCCAAGAAGAGGAAGAACTATATGATAGAATGAAGCTAGCAGAGATATAGTAAACTAGAGTGACCGTACAAAAACGGAGAAGGTAAACCAATCCCTGAGGTTTGAAAGCAATGGAACAAGCGAGAAGAGGACAACACAGAACATTTGAACAAACTAGCAAACCCACCGGACATCGATGTAACACGCATAGATCTCTCCATAGATAATACCCCAACTGGGAAGAAAAGAAACTAGCGAAGCCATCAGCCAAGTTAAGAATGACAAAGCACCAGGACCAGACAGATTACCAGCTGCAGTACTAAAGTCAGAAACAAGGGTAACAGTAAAGATGCTCCACATTCTCTTTAGAAAGATTTAGGGAAGATAACAAGTGCCAGAAGACTAAAAACAATGATGTGTTATCAGGATATCAAAGAAAGATCTTGGCGAAGATGAGAACAACCAAGGGGTCATACTGTTATATCCGAGAGAAGACTAAATCACGAGTAACTTCTGAGACATATTAATTGACTAATCTTATCTATACATTCTAATGGTATAACTATTCAATAATTAGATTATGTATATTTATATTCCTGTTATTATAAGCTTTATTTTGACCTATAATTTATTATTGTACGATTTACGATTCTTATTCTATGTTCAGTTTATTGACTACTGCCTCGCACGTTCACAATCACTTTTTGGCTTTATTGTGTACAAATGTTATTTCCTATTTTATGGTGCGTTGCGGTCTGTTTGTTTGATATATAAACACAGTATGTTCTAAATATATGATTCGCATAGTGGAAGCTGGTATTAGTGTTCTGGACTCAAGTGGACGGGCTACGAGGACATAGGAGCAATAACGACGCCAGGCTGCTCATACCGGTCGAACGTCATTGGTTTGGCACAGTGCTGAGATTGTATAAGTCGTATTTTGATTGGTGGATAAATCACGTGATAAAAAGCCGGATATAAAGTCACAACACATACTACCATCCGTTCCAAGAATGAAATCTTTCAGTGTTTAATATACAGTAATTTTTATAGTCTTTTGAAATTGTTTTGAAGTTATTTTATTACTGAGCAGAAGAAACTTGATATATTAGAAACAGGTAAGAAAACCGGTATATCATTACAGAGTATCGTCTAACCATTTATAACATTGTTACATTACTTGTTTATCAACTTAACTACCAATAAAATTCAATTCTCTAGAAGTGTTTCTAATCCTGAAACATTATAGGTTATTAAGGTAGCTGATGAGAGCCATTAATATGAAATACAATAAGTCCATAATGTCCCGTCCAACTCGTTGTTGTTCACTTTTAATATCATAAAGGAGAACTGTGCGTATGTGTGTACGTGTATTTATATGCATCAAACGTAGCACTTATATAGCAGCTCTCAAATGTTTATAATTATAGAAATTACATATTGACTTGACAGGATAAAGCATAAAAATGACTAACTTGAGAACACATTCCAACGTTACTAGCAACTGAAGTCCGAGCCAAAGCACCAGATGAGGGTTGACAACGAAAAAATCCAGATATTACATTGGACAAGCCTAGTGCATTCAGTTCCTGTTTTGTAAACATAAAAACACACAGAGAGATCAACTATTATCTGTATAACCCAACACAATACAAATACAGGGGTAATTTTTTGCCAATTATACAATCCTACCTACCTATGAATAATTATCACTGAGCATATATTGATTTATGGTGTACATTAAATGGTGTCATCAAGTTACAATTTTCCACGTCACGAATTGACCACAAAGCACTTAACACAGTCATATCGCTCTAGTATGAGACTCGTCGACAGTGAAAGCCAACTTTCGTGATCACGCTAACCATCATATCCTAAATGTTCAAGTTCCGTGACGAGCATTTAACCTTCAGACTACTGAATCAGTATCCAGTAGTTTACAATTTTAACTCATTGAAATTCCCGAATATTATCATTGGTGATATCTGTCTCACGTTCGGAATGGTGAAGTCCAGTAATCAAACAGGACAATTATACAACGTTTCATGATTTTCAGCGGTTTTCTAACCAAGGTTTAAACATCACGTGAAAATTTAGTCTTGTAACAATTATATATGTGTACTTTACATTTAGTCCAACAGTTAGGTTGTATAGTTTTGGTAAAAGTAGCTCCACAAAAAATAATCGATCTACATAAGAAGAATTTAGGATGTAGTTTTAATGAAATTACAATATTGAGAGGTGAAAATGTTTGTGTTCGAGGTTCAATTAATAATCTGGATGAAATCTTGAAGTAGATATGTCGAATTTTGTAAATAACTGCACAACTCGTACATTATTGTGTTAAACTATTTCAAATACCAGATACATAAACTAACAATCCACGTTCACATTATGATGAGGTTATCATGTACCTAGGGAATTCGAGACGTAAAATACAACATAACGTTTAGTCATACTTGTATTGTACTCCCCCCCAAACGACTCTTAATACAACCACCGAAAATTGAGAAGCTTCATCATGACGAACGTATAAATATTGAGTGAAATATTTGGTATGTCATTGAGAAACATGCATGGAAGTTATAACTTACGGAGAATGGAATTCAACTGTATTCAAGCACTTTAGAAATACAAAATGATGATAATATAAAAAGTCTCTTGTTAATTTAAATTCTTTGGAAACAATGCATTCTCCAGAATATACTAACCATGATGATTTTGATTAGAAAGACATAAATATTTATATGGAGTAAACTTGATGTAGAAATAATTATCCGACACAAAAATTGAGAATTTTCATTTATCCCAATCTAGATTTTCCTACGTGGCTTTTTAAGTTTTTTTTGAGTTAACTGGGACTGAATTTCGGAGAATTTATTTTTAATTTATTTACTTAAACACATCAACATTGGTACAAAAAGGCACCAAATAGATATGCACCATATAAATCATTTGATATGTGTGAGGGTTGGGATATTGTCCGGTTGACCAAACCGAAACAGGTGGTTTTCCTAAGAGGTCACACCCAGAGCCTTTGACCTAATGGTCTAATCCACAAGGTAGTGGAGCAACGTAGGGAGATACAGTCCTATAGTAGCTGGTCACCAACAATAGGTTCATACCTTCATTTGTTCCTTTAGGATACTGGAACCAATGTGGACCATTGGTTTGGAATCAGGGTTTTCCAAATCCTCTAGGTGGACTCTCCGTGTCCACTAACCCGGTTAAAGCTCCAGGTATTCCCTTTTCGTCCTTTTAATTTCGTAAACAACACCAACACCGCGAGAGGGCAGTGAGTAGGACTTCACTGCCAGTGGTTGTATGCACGTGGTCATGTGAGAGCATTTCGAGGAGATCTGACTCTCCTAACTCTCGGCCGTATCAGGGCATTTGGGGGCAATTTCAGAGAAGCAACATGTTTGTTTTTTTCAGTGTCATTTAAAAACAATGAAATTATTCACAGCAATTTATAAGTAGCACAGATCAAATCGATATTTTTTTGAAGAAACACAACAATAAGATAATCTAAGTGGATGTTTATTATAATTAAATAAATTTATAAAAAAATAAACAAATACTGAAGTCACATGGTCTAATTCTATCAAGTAGGCAAATGAAGATCGGATGATCAGCATAATCATATAGATATGGATATTAAAGCTAAGTGAATACAATCATTTACTGTTGTAAGAATAATGTCAAACCTTTTAGTTTCAGTAAAGAAATATACAAAGTTGATTACAATAGATTGATCAGTAGACAATAACCAGTATCATGTATATCAGATCCTTTTTAGTACAGATCGAATTTTATCGATCAAGTTACAATGTAGTCACTAGTCTAGGTGGCTCGATATCGTATGTACTATGTTGAGATGTAAAATGGTGTAAGGAGGTGGTCGACAGGAAACCGTGGACCTAGGTTTAGTACTATTTCGCACTCTGTACAACCCAGTGATACATCGGTGAGACTAAAATTTATGGACAAACCAATCATGTATAAGATAACAGGTCTTGGATTTTGGCGCGAAATTTACTCGTATATTCGGCTAAATAGATTCATGGCATTACAGCTGATGTCAGTTCGTGATGAGAACAATAAGTATAATTTCTAGCCTTGACCATCAGTCAGTCAGTCAGTCAGTCCGTAACAACGTGGAACTTCATACCTACGTACATAGGTTCGAGTTGCCACACCACATTAGCACAGAGATACAGTTGTCGACTCAAATTTCGTAGTGGTAGAGGTAGTAAGAGTATAAGCAGTAATCGGAAACATTAGGGCTTGAAGATGTTATTCAAGGTGTATAATCCGGTGAAATAAATTTGGAAAGAGAAAAAAGGGAAACGAAGAATTCAGAAGATTAGAATTTGGGAGAACACAAAGAGTGGATGCATTTGCGCCATTGCAAACGCTTTTAAGCCGTGTCACTCAGGGTCTCTAAGCGTCGGTTGCTATCGTCTCTCGGATCTCAACCAGGTAGTCTAAACCTACCAACATGATTTCATGGATTTATGCCATGTTTTGGTCTCGCCGCTCCTAGCTTTCTTCCAACCTACTCCTATACCACTGAACATCGCTCGTCGAGGCACTCGGTCGTTGGGCATACGTAACACGTGTCCCAGCCATCTCAACTGATGAAGTTTCACTACTTCATCAATCGATTTTCCATCCTTACTTAGTACCCGTTTCCTAACAACTGTAGTACTTACTCGATGGTCCCAGGATATACGAGCAATGTTTCGAAGACACCTATGATCGAATACTTGTAACCTAAGAGTATCGACTGCTATCACCGGCCATGTTTCACTGCCACAAGGTACGACGGAACGAACTGCGGTGCAGTAAACATGTCCTTTGCTTGGAAGACGGATATCTCGCCTACACCATAAATGGCGCAAATTGGCAAAAACTAGTCGAGCCTTCTGTATCCGTGCTGAGATTTCGTCACACACTAGACCGCAATGGCTGATGAGACTCCAAAGATAATTGAAGCGGTCAACACGCTCAACCATCAACTGTAAATCGTAATTCTGATTCTTCACACATGTCTATAACCCCCATTTGGTTCTGGTTACTAGGTAGACGCTCTCAAGGTGAATCTGGAGTCGCTCAAAGGTCGTCCATAAATTGTAGTCTCACCGATACATCAATTGTAAATACATCCCAGTTGCGGCCTGGATAGCTCAGTGGTAATGTCTCTGACTGTGAAGCTGGCCAACAAATAATCGAATCCACCAAAGGGTAATATTTCTTTCAAAATTACAGGTACATCTTGATGAAGAGTGCCAAACAGTATGAAACCTATATCTAGGATTTCCTGGACTACCTCCCACCACCTCCATACAAACTTGTTGTCATCTATATTGGAATCACATGATTGGTGTTCGATAGAACAAGTTTATTTTATTAAACTAGGTTATACATGGATTCTTGAAGCAGTAGACAAGTGATACTATTTTAGTTTTGGGCTCATCTTAATACTTGAAATCTAACATAGAACTTTGGGTTTCGCGACGAGTGAGATCTCCTCATGTATTAAATGCAAGTAGATTGTATATTGAACCATGAGCTACATTTTAATTGTTTTCGAATGCTAACGATACTTTCCAATGATTGAAATCAAAATAGATGGTGTAAAATTTGAACCTATAACTAAACCCATTTTGAAAAAAACTGGTAGCTTTTTAATGACTAAATCATTATTCTTTAAGGAACTTTGAGTTATAACAAGTGATTGAATGTATTCAATATATAATCGAAGTTTTCATAAATGATGATTTTAAAAAGTAATATATGAATAGATATTTAAATAAAACATACTTGAGTATAACCAACATTATAACCACCTTTCTTTGCATATAATTTAACTAAAGAAATTGTTGTAGCTAATGAAACAAACGATACAATGATTGATTCCATTAAAACTTCTGGTACTAGTCGAATATCCGGTAATACGGGTGATGGTAAACTTCAGAATATAAAAAAAAGTAAATTAAACACTATTTTAAGCCAAAAGTGAAATATGTAACTTATGAGTTAAAGTTAGTTCATAGTTATATAATATGCCCTTGTTAGTAAGGATAATTTTATATTGGTTTTTCAAGAGAACCAGACTTCATCCAGAATTTCGCTTGACAACTCGAACACTACAGCACAATCCTGTTTATCAGGAGAGCCAAACACTTCCCAAGCAGTACAGCTCAGTCCCGCTTCACAGGAGAACCAGACACCAGATAGGCTTTAACGCTACAATCTGAATAGTACAGCTCAATCCTGTGGCGCAACCATACAAGTATCAAACACCCTGGTGGACCATTCGCACCAATCATATACACATTCACATCAATGATAGCGTGAATCAATTATGCACAGCACGAACTTGCCAAAGTTGACCTATTCCGCTTACACGACAGTCAACCCAATAATGTTAGCAATGGCGACATGCCTTACAATGTCCTAATGACAATGGCCCTTGAAAACACTGAAAAGCAACCAGCAGTTTAAATGAAATCGGTTAAGCAGCAAACCAATTTTGTGCATGAATAAGCAGCAAAACTTGCCAAAGTAATACCGAACCATCCATAATATGAATGGCGAACCTCCAGTCTCATATGAGACCTTCAGCTCTGCATAACAACATATATAATATGTAACTTGTTACCGAAACATTTAAATGAATGCATTAAAACAATGTAATGCAACTCATTTTAGAAGTACAATGTTATACATTCAACTTTAAATTACATTTTATGTAAAAACTAATTATACTACTTAGTTGCTAAAATCAAAGTGGACGAAGAATGAGGTTTGGAGCCTATAACCTCAATAGATTAAAGAGGCATAAATATATCATATGCCTAAACTTACTTCCTATTTTAAGGTCAAAGAGCAAATGACAAATTATAAACATAGTATGCTATTTGAAGAAATTGATTATGCACTTGATTAAGGTCTCGTATTACGTGTCCTTATCTCTTAACAGGAGGAATAATCGTATACATATTTATGATATGTGTGTATTAAGATTAGTTTCAGTAATTAGATCTCCTTATAAATTACAGTCATCATAGTAGGTTTGGTTTAAAGTAGGTGGTATATATTGTAACCATATCAGATAGTAGAATACTACAGATATTCACTTGATATTGTTTTACTTGAATTTTCCCATTGATGTTTTTGGACTGAAATTGATCAGTCTCTTATTGGCATATGTGCATACTGTGCGTGAATTCAACTTCAACCCATTGCACAAGCAAGTGGCTATCAGGACTCAGTAGCTAAGTGGATAACGCGATGGCGTTTGAAGCGAACGGTACTGAGTTCGAGTCCCAGAGTGAACATCAACTCTGAGATGCAGGTACATCCAACTGACGAGTCCCAAACAGGACGAAACGCGCGTCCTGGATTCCACTGCTAGCCACTATCCGTCTTTGCTTATACTACAGATATTGTTATTGAAATTTCAGGCATTTTTATTCATTCATATACACCTTATTCTGAAGTTACATGCAAAGCAGTTTAGTGAATTAGACTATTTCTAAGTTCATATTCTTCTAGCATATCATATTCTCCTTACTTATATACCTGGATTAACAACCCTATTGAAAAAATATATATGGAAGCCATTTTTAAAACTATAGGAAAAACAAAAGATAATCTCATAGAGATTTCAACCTATTGAAAGATCCGACAGAACAACAAGATGAATAACACTTACAAACTTCAAGATTTGAGACTGAACTAAAGAAATTAGACCATCAAGTTAACATAGAATGATACACATAACTAACTGTAATTAATCTGTAAAAAGGTCAACTTCATTCAATTCTACTATTGATAGAAGGCTTAACTATCACATTTTCAGTTCATTATATCCATGTGGTGAACTTTTCACATGATTACTAATATAACTAACTCATATTATCCTATTTTACAAAAATCAACATTCAAATAGGATTGGTTAAACACAGGATAGTTTTGATTGTTAAATAGATATATATATTTCTTTGATGATTTTAATTTTGTTGATTACCCTGAAGAAGTTCAGATAAGTTAGTTGGACGAAACGTTGGAATTATTTAAATTTGATATGAGAAAAAGAAATCTCTCAGTACGTTGTTACTGACTGACTGACTGACTAACACCTTAACGATTTACATAGTTCAAATAACCTTACTGGGTAATTTCTTTAACCTTTGGATTAACCAGTAAAATTACATAATCACTTTTTTTTATTACAATTTTAGGTTGTTTGTATATAAAAAAGGGGATATTTTTACTGAATAACAATTCATTACAACTACAGTTTAGAAATTGTCTTTTAACATTTTTGCACCTTAATGAAACATAAACTAATAATAATAATAAGAGGGAAGCAATTATATTTGCTATCGATCCTTATGTTCTAGTTTCAGATAATAAGAACTAGTTTCTTTCATCTTTTCAAATTAATTATTCCGATATACTAGAAGGGGATTTGTGAAGATTTTTCAGTAGTTGAAATCATGAGACCATCAGGTAAAACCTGAAAGCATTGGACGGCAGTTTTCTTCTAGTATGAAACTTCTCGGCAGTACGTATCCACGAACTTATTTAGAAAAGTTCCTTAAATCACAGCAAAAATACTTCACATAAAATGGAATCCGAATTGTCTGAATGATAATGAGGGGTTCAGGTACAACTTAACCTGTATACAAAACCTCTCATCCACCAAAAGTGTCAACACAAATATGGTGAAAACGTTTTTTCGCCACATCAATATATGCGATTTTTAGAAACTATAGACTTATGAATGCAAAAGATAAGTCTTTGAAACAACACTGCACACATGACAGTAGAGATGATAAACTGTAGGTCTCAATATCAATAACGTGCAAATAAAACATTCACAGATGAAATATATATCTGCTCCAAAATTCAGTAGCAATGATTTACTGGATAACATTATGACATTTGAAGTGAAAGTTACTATGTTAGAGTCACTGTATAAACATCAGTAATGGGATGAGGTTGGTACATCCAGCTGATGAGTGGCAAATAGGACAAAATCAACATCCTGATTTCTGTTGTTAGTCACTATTCAACTTTAATAAGAACCTTACAAATAACGTCAATAACAATGTATATTACCACATATATAAACACAAAATATATTTCATTAAAACACACCCTACAGGAATTTCACCGACAATCGACACCCCATAACGTTGATTTAATAGACCAAATTTTGATATAACAGTACCAGCAGTAAGCTAAAAAGATGATAAATAGGTTATATCAACCATAACAAAGATATGATGAAATAGTCATTTAATATCTTACTCTTAACTACACTGACTACATAAATTTCACTAAGTTTAAGAATTTCCAATATATGGATGAAGATGTTCCGGTGGAGAAAATGTTCTGTTTACCGATATCATTTTCTGAAGATGTACAATCGTATGTAGTAGTTTACATGTAAAATAATGGAGTTTTATAAGTATCATCAAAGACAGCCAAACTTATTCAAATGGAAGTCAATGAAAATGAAGTGGTGTTGCATAATATAATCAAAATTATCCAGAGAATTTATGCATTGAATATAATAATTTATAAATGGGAGTGTTATTTCAATGTAATTAGAGTTTTTAAGTATTACATAAAAAGAAGGTTGCATAATCATTAACAGTTTAAGTTATTTAATAGTTTTGCAAGGAATAAAATGTGATAACCCATAGAATATAAACTAAAGACAACAGTCTACTTTATAAAGAATGAGAAGGTAATATTCAACACCCATATTTTGTGGAATTCAAAAGGATGGAAAGACCATGGAAGAATAAGGGATTGAATATGGCTTTTTGGTACACAGAGGTCGAGTTTGAAATGGTGAATTGCTATAGCCTCAGCTGTGTACAAATTCCTCATCCAAACCTTTTTTGAGTCGGTTTTTTACTCTGAGGTGGATTTTGAACGACCCACGTGGTGGACTGTGACCCAAGTCAACCATGTACTCAAGGACAGAGCTATTGATCGGTTTGCATTCCCCTTGAGATGGCCGTGTAGGATACTTACTTATGTCTGTTAACCCTCATGGAGGAGCATAGGCCGCTCACTAGAATTCTCCATCCAACCATGTCCTGGGCAATCCTTTCCAGTTGCTATTCATTCTTCTGGTGTCTGCTTCCACTACCCGACGCACTGTGTTCTTTGGCCTTCCCCTTTTTCGTTTCCTTTCAGGATTCCAAGTCAGTGCTTGCTTCGCGATGCAGTTTGATGATTTCCTCAATGTGTTACCTATTCACTTCCAACATCTTTTCTTAATTTCCTTTTCAGCTGGAAGTTAGTTTGTTGTCTCCCACAGTAAAGCCATGTAGAATAGTGCTCAAATATTCATTTATCAAGTGCACACTTAGTACAGCATATAAAACCTGCTCCATAAGACGAGGTAAACTTATAAATGCACGTTGAGGTGGCCAAGAGCGGCAGTTTATCCTTGAAAGTTCCATGAATGAGTTTCCTGCTGGAGAAAACAGTTCGAATCTCTGCTGAATAAAAAGTATTTCTCAGGGATCTAGACAGTTTGTTCATTAATATATCAACTGCCATATCTCCCCTGAATTCAACGTTCAAGAATAAAATTTACTTCACCAGTGTGGGGGCACTTCTAATTTGACGTATTGCTTTAAGGTTGCCATCAATGAAATTGAATAGTGAACCATTCTCTAAGTTTTCATCCGGCTATATCTAGCTTATCATCAACTGTGCCTTTAGTGCATATTCGTCTGGCTCTTGAAGATAAAGAATGGATAAAATTTCTCGTCCTGCTCAGCGGCAACCAACTCTGGGAATTCGTATACTGCTCTTTATAGGTTGGCTTTCTGTACACCAATCATTGCAGAGACTCACTTGATCTTCATTTCAGTAGAACATCAAGAAGGTGGAATCCCGAATTCAGCTCCGATTCTATTGTGAACGTAATCGAGTGGTAACAATTATAACTGAGACGTATATACAAACAATTACCACTGGAGTAGTGAAACGACGAATGCTAGAACATCATTAGAGACCTGGAAAAAATTAGACACTCATTTCGTCCTAGAACCTAACTCTTCGGTAGTGCGCAACCACGATCCTGAAGACGAGAGTCGAATCCAATACCTTCCGTCTCACATGTGAACGCTTAACATCTAGACCACTGAGCCAACGGCCAAAAGTGTCAATATACAACTTCAATCAAGCTACGGTATCGCACAACCGTATTCCAATTATTTAGGTGGGTAATTGACTCACACCTAATATAGATTATATCCACTGTTCATGCCTTGTCACTAGAACTCCGGGAATTTCCTCTCGAAGCCAGTCATTAATGAGCACATAACTGTTATCAGTAAAGAGAATTTGTAGAGATTGTTGAGTTTTATTGAAATCATAAGCCAATCTATGTTAAGCGTTCGCATGCTGAACCGAAGGTACTAGGTTTGATTCCAGCGTTCAGAGTTGTGGATGCTCACTGCTAAGGATTCCTATACTAGGACGAAACGACCGTCTAGTACTTCCAAGTTTTCAATGGCGGTCTAACCTAGACTCGTTCATGATTTCAATGTAACTCAACAATCTCCACCACCCCATACATACGTTTACGATTGATTCGATTATGTTCACTTAACATAGCTAAAATGAAAGGCAAGAAGTTTCCCAGATGACAACTGTATCCAAAAAACCAACATTGGGGACTGTATATTTATAAATCCATAATTATAGCATCATTATTGACCGACACAAGGCATACATGAATAAGTTGTAAGTGAATTAGACAACATTATATGATAACTAGTTCACCATTACATCGATTACGGTCTAAATATATAACATAGGCCAATTTCAAAACGTCATTTAATAAAGGGTTATGAAAATTAATTGTAATGTATTCACTAACAATCAATATAAAAATATCATGTGAGGGTAATTCATAAACATATTCGGAGATATCTTATATAGGATTAATTGAGATTATAGTCATGATAGCAATGATAATAAAGTAATGTGAATATTTAGGAGATTTATTCATTTAAACACAAAAATATTAATACGGAATAGCACTAAAATATACATTCGCCACACAGAATTCATGTGGGGATAGGGTTGTTGCCTAGTTGACCAAACCAAAGCAGGAGGTTTTCTAAGGGGGCACTCTCTGAGCATTTGGCCTACAAGTCTAATCTACAAAACATTGGCGCGACATTAGAAGGTACGGATCCTATAGTACCCGGTGACCAACAATAGGCTGGATCCTGGAGCCTATGTGCAACATTGCTTTGGAATCGTATTTCTTCAACTCTCCGAGGTAGATCCTCTGTATCCACCAACGCGGTCTAAGTGCTGGACATTCGCTTATTGTTCTCTCAATTTCGTAAACAACACCCCAGCCGCGAGAAGGCAATAAATACGAAATCCCTGGCAGCAGCTATATGCACATCGCATATGAGAGCATTTGTAGAGGAAAAATAAACACTCCTCACCTATGGCTGTTCCAGGGCATTTGGTGGAAAACGAAGTGTTTCCAAATTAATTAGAATAGTAGTGATAAGTAATGTCTAGTGTTGATCTGAACTCTAATGGAATAAACATAGGGAAATTCGGAACTTCCATAACGTTTTCAGATTATTATCCACACTTTTTATTGTTTAAATAGTAGATAACTGTATTATTGAGTTTATATATTCCCCTTTATTGTAAGCTTTCATCGGATTTACTAACTATAGCTATATGTTTTATTGTCCCTTAGTTATTGTTGATTAGTCATGTGCTGTTTGTTTCTAATACTTATGGTATAACTGTGACTGAAGTATAAATTTTTAATGGGTATGTTGTATGATCAGTTATTTTAAGTTTATTATGTATGCGTTTTCAGTCATGATTAAATTGAGAACGATAGCCAACTAATCTGCGTTTTCTGATTACTTACTGAGTTAAGAGGAGTGCGAGGACCTAAAAGCGTGTTATTCGTTCGTCGGTGTATCAATTGGTAAATAGGTCACTAATCCTATTGAGAATATAGATGAACTAAACGATTGTTGAAATTCAGATTGATGGATTTAACATGTAGTAATCGACTAGTGTACATAGTGATATATTTCAACGATTAGCTGAAGCGGTACAAATCCACGATATACAGAAAGCGATAACATCTCAAAAAACCTAAATTTTAGCGAATAGTTTCACAGCAGCTGGATGCCGAGTTAATGTAATCCAAACTTTTTCAAGGAAATATAACTAAATATCAAAAGTATCGGATATGAATAAGTACATGATTCTCTGGTTAACTGTATACTGAATAGTTCATCCAATCATATTAACAATATTGAAAGTAAGTACTTGTTGTATTGCCTATAAAACATTTGATACATAAAGAAAAGTATGTTTACAATAACTAATTATCGCCTCTGATCAGTGAATTTTTGATGAGAAAACGAACAATTTTATAGATGATATCAGTTAAACATGTTACAGCATGTATTAAATGAAAAGAAAAGTAAAAACAGAAAGAATAAATATTTGTGTTGACATAGTTGACCGTTCGTGAAATATTCAAATAAACTAAGATTAGAACAAGTTTTCATTGTAGTTCAACATAATAAACGATTAATTAAAATTTACTTATGACTAATTAACAACAAAAAGTAAACATGGATTGGTTGAAGTTAGACATTAACACCGTTGGATACCGGCCGGCTCAGTGGTCTAATGGTTAAGCGTTCGCGCGCGAGACTGAAGGCTGTGGGTTTGAATTCCACGAGCGGGGTAGTGAGTGCGCACTGATGAGGAGTCCCATACTAGGACGAAACGGTCGTCAAATGCTTCCAGGTTTTCTCTGATGATCTAGCTTCAATTGACTCATAAATTCAACTAATAAAAAATAAACTTACTTTCTCAAACTTACCACAATTAATTCAATTGGAATTGTAAAGCGTAGTATAGCTGAAACTTTTGGATTGATAAAATGTTTAAAACACCATATAATTGTAATACATATCATTGATATTAATAATGTAACAAGATTAGTTTCTTTGATAATATGAATAAAATTATTAATTATCTAAATAAATAAACAAAAATAATACATGATAAGCAAAAAATAAAAAAAAGAATTTCTCCATAGAAATTTTCATAAAAAGAATTCATCATTGACTTTAGTCACTAAGTCAATCAGTCACCTATAGTGTACGATCGGGTACATATATGCATCGGTCCAAGTTGCCATACTTCATTAACACAACAAGATGAACACTGAATTCATAGAAGTAGTGAGTTCAATGGTGGTAATATATAAAAAGAAAGATTGCATATAATGATATAGTACAGGAAGAAAGAATTAGTTCGTAGAAAAAAGATATAAAGCTACCTCCCGACCGTTGTTGCTACCTTGACGTGGTGGTCGGGCTTGCCTATCGTGATGAAGCAACCGAGCTATACGGGCTGGAACAACCGTTCCTCAAGGTCCTACCACGTCAGAAAGGTCGGTTGAAGAGCGGTAAGACTAAAAGCAACAAACCCAAGGTCCGAAGGCGAAATCGTACTGCTGACTGTACAGAGGTGTGACAGCAGTAAGGTGTCTCCTCCAGACAACCAGCATAATAGCGATGCTGCCTTCCCGCAAGGAGGGGCGAAGTTAGAAAAGGTCGACCCTAAAAATGAACACCTCGCCTTATCCCACGGATATCCGTCTCCGGCGGTAAGGTCTCAACAAGTACGGAGCTAACACAAAAATCACCCATAAAAAGGTCGTGTGTGACCGACCTCAAGCAGTTGTCCCTTGGGCCCTGCGGTCACGCTCTCAGGTCACCAAGACCAACTCTAACCCAATTTCCTTTTCAGGTACCTCCAGAAGAACCCTTCCATGGTGTGGGCAACCGGGAAGTGATAACCGCCCTCATACCTCTAACAGCACTCAAGACCACTGTATTCATAATCAACCTCCGTCTTCAGTTCCTATTATTCCTCCTAAATCGACTTCAAACTTCTTTTTTCGGCTTCCCCCTCAAGTGTCACCATAGCCAACGATTCTAGTGCTCAAAACACTCAAATGAATGAATCTACCGTTATTTATCCTATTGAAATGATTTATGAAGATTGTTAATTTGAAGTTACTATTCATAAGAATAAATGGAATAATTGTTATGATTTGTTATATCTGAAGAACATAAATATATGGGTAGGTTCCAGGAGCTATCTATAAAATGAAATGAATATTCGTCAAGATAAGAACGAATAGTTTGACAGAAATCGAGCGCTGAGCATGAAGAAGTCATTATATGTGAAAATTATATTTCAAATATTCTCAGTGATTGAAATTTAACTAATTCCAACGTTTCATCCAGCTAACTTGTCTGGACTTCTTCAGGGTAATAATTAAAATCAATATATAGCCTTTAACAATCAAAGATATACTGTGTTTAACCAATCATATTTGAATGTTGATTTTCGTAAAATAGGATAAAAGGAGTCAGTTAACTACAAATCATGTGAAAAATTTAACTAGATGGAAATATCAGTTTACGGGTTGTGAAGATTGTCAAGTTTTTGACTGAAATCATGAACCGATTGATGATAGACCACCATTAAAAACATGGAAGCACTGGACGGCCGTTTCGTCCTATTGCAGGACTCCTCAGCAGTGCGCATCCACGATCCCGCTCGAGGGATTCAAACCCACGGCCTTCAGTCTCGCGCGCGAACGCTTAACCTACTGGACCACTGAGCCGGCATTCAATGGTGGTCTAACATAAATCGGTTCATGATCTCAATCAAAAACTTAACAATCTCCACAACCCCTAAACTGATACATGGAAATAATTAACTGAATAATAAACTGTATGTGTGTGATTGTGTAGGTATGTATGTATGTGTGAGAATTATTCATTGATATTCAGTGGTAATATGTTATATATGAAGGAATAAATAAATAAGTAAAAGTGCACGTTCAAGGTTGAAAAATGGTTTCTGAATCATCGATGTGCATGTCAAATTTAATAATCGAACAAATACATAATTTCACAGATTGAAATCATGAGTCAGTTGAAGCTAGACCACCATTGAAAACCTGGAAGCACTGGACGGCCGTTTCGTCCTAGTATGGGACTCCTCAGCAGTGCTTCCAGGTTTTCAATGGTGGTCTAGCTTCAACTGGATCATGATTTCAATCTGTGAAATTTCTAAAATCTCCACAAAACCCATTCTGAAAATACATAATTGTATTTTATAAGCAAAGATGGATAGTAGCTAGCAGTGGAATCCAGGACGCGCGTTTCGTCCTATTTGGGACTCGTCAGTTGGGTGTACCTGCATCTCAGAGCTCATGTTCACTTTGGGACTTGAACCCCGTACCATTCTCTTCAAACGCCGTCGTGTTATCCACTCAACTACTGAGTCCTGATAGCCACTTGCTTGTGCAATGGGGTTAATTTAAATTCACTTGGTATTGTTTTACTTGTGTCTTCCCATTGAGGTTTAAGACTGCAAATGACCATTCTGTTATTGGCATATGTGCATACTCTGTGTATGCCTCGATATTGCCTTAATTCACAAGCTTTTATAAGTAAAGATGGATAGTGGCTGGATGGATATCACTTGAAAACTTTCAAAACTTCAACTGTTGGTATTGTGGCGCGTGACACATCAAAAATTTGCCGATTTACAAACCGTAGATGCACCATATGCATACGCATAAACCAGTACGAACAGCCTAGAGTCAATTCTGAGTCTTTGTTAGTTCTTCTCTCCTAGCCCTACCCGTTTGAGTCCAGAACACAATCTCAGCTTTCACTGTATACATCATGTATGTCAGACATACGCAGTTTCTATACAAGCGAAAAAGACCGCATCACACCATAAATATAAAATAGCAATTATACAAGATCGAGCCAAAAGTGGTTTTGAGTGGGTGAGACTGTAACTAATAAATTGGGAATATCTTAAGAATAGTAAGTCATATGATAATGATCAATAGGTCAAATAAAAGCTTATAGTAAAAGGAAGGTAATAATTTCGACCGCAACGCGTAAACATGCACTGCCAAGGAGTCCTAAAATAGGACGAAACGTCCGTTCATTGCTTCCAGGTTTTCAATGGTGGTTTAGCTTAGGTCGACCAGTGATTTTAACTGCGAAAATACTACAATCTCAAAAATCACCTAAAGTAATTTCATTTACTTAGCGGAAGTCGTTTTATATGTTACACACTATTTTATTACTAGTTTCTCTTAGTCTAAAATATTGAAGGAATAATTCTTGTTTCCGTAAATCTATGTTCTTGCCAGTCACTAATTTTGAGAGGTAACCTCTTGAGTCATAGTGAGAAGCAGTGGAGCTCAATTACGTTGGGGGGGGGGAGCCAGCCGTCTAATAACAATTGCGTAATACTGTGAATTAAGAATGTAAACTGTTGGATACCAACTTAATTGTTTAAATGTCAAGCAGAGGCAGTTAGCATCACAGGTCTTTGAATTCGATTACAGTCATTGAGAGAGTTCCATAATAAAACGAAATAAATTTTAATAATTACCTAATAAAAGTCAATAATCATGATGCAGAACTTCAGAAACCCATTTAACTAAAACACTGATCATTGGAATGTACTTTTAAGTAATAAGTCACAATACGTTATTTCAAAGACCAAGATATGTCAAATGAAAATGGTCATATATTTTGAGACTTACATAAAAAACACGGAAAGGTCCTGTAGCACGATTTAATCGTATACCAAATAATCCATTTAATTGACTAGTGAACACATGAACAGCAGATGCACAAGTAAAGCCACTTAATAATGGTTCCGATATATAAACTACTAGTACACCAAGACGAAGAATACCTAAAGCGACCTTGAAACCAGTAATCAGAAATAAGAAAACATTGAGAATAAAAAGAGGATAAAAACTCAGTAACGAGTACATATTAAAGATGAATGAGTAATTTTAGACTTGATAACTTTAAAATAAGAAAAACTACAATAATTTAATAACTACATCATTTTGTATGACAATAGTTTATGAAGTCATTAACTTAAGCAGAGATGGACAGTGGTTAGCAGTGGAATCTAGGATGAGAGTTTCATCCTACTCAGGACTCATCAGCCCGATGCACTCAGCATTGCAGAGTTGATATCCACTCTGAAACTCGAACGTAGTACCGATCACTTTAAGGACTATCGCGTCATCTACTTAGCTACTAAGTTCAGATAGCTACTAGTTTGTGCAGTGAAATGGATTTTAATTCATATGCATATACATCTGGTTGACGAGTCCCAGACGGAAGGAAACGCGCGTCCTGAATTACACTGCTAGCCACCATTCATCTCTGTTTAAAGTGATTGTGACCTAATGACAATATCGAGACAATCCACAAAGGAGGAATATATAGCAAAATGAGACTGATCATTCGCAATCTCAAACATTAATGGAAAGATGAAACAAACAATATACATATGAATCAAAAGTCACTAACTGTTTATCCGAGTGATGTTACTAGGTGTACACCACATGCTTTTATAATCTATGTGATAATGATTGAAGATGGATGAAATAGCTAGAAATCAGTCGCAGTGTCGTATATGGATTAATTATTCATCCTACTAGAAATATAAAGTTGCAATATTACCTTATTTCTTTTATTATGCTAGTTCACTCCTTCATTTTGAACCAAATTCTTTAATATTAAGCCTATCTTATCATCACTGATAGAATGAGTATTAGTTCGACACACTCGCTACTTATCTTGCTAGTTGCATCTCGTTCGCTCTATTTGGTGTGAAAAAGAAATAATAAAAATCTCTCCTCGATACTAACTTGATTACGACTGACTAGCATACACTTCTGTCTATATAGTCTAGTGAAATTCACTGGTATTCAGATCAATTGAGTGAAAATAGAAACACTGACATAGATTCAATCACACCAAAAGTCTTCAGGGAAAAAAACCAATAGTCTAGTTCATTAGTAAACGTGAATATCCAAGTCGAAATGGCTAGTTTGTACCTCTATTGTCATCACCAAGTTACCTGATGGTTAACTTCTGATTTGTTAAAAATATATAATGGTAAAGTTTAAATCTAATTGCCATTGTAATAAAAGAAGTCTTGGGTAGCGTTAGCCAATTTATTATTATGTAATATCACACAGTGCATTTGTAAAACATGAACATAATACATTAAATACACTATTTGCAAATCTTCATTGAGTTCCTCCATACAAACTCTTTCATTCTTATTTTTATTTCGACTGCATTGTGTTTTCCTTTCTTTTCTCTTTATTTTCCTCTTCTGTTTGTAAGAACTCTACTTTCAATTACTGATACATACTACTTATTTGTCCGTACAAGTAGCATACATCATACTATAGCTTCCGGAAATCGTAATAAGGCAGAGTTAATTTGTCTGTTAATAAATTTGAATGCATTCATTTTATCCATTGTTTATCACACGTCTAGCATTTGGCATGTTATCGAAGTACGAAGTCTGTTTTATCCTTAGAAATGTACACTTTAAGGTATATGTTCAGCAAAATGTATAAAATTCTGATTTTTTGCTTTTGTATATGCACATATAAACTGATACATACAGTCGTAGGTGGAATGTGACGCGTATTTATCTTTGTTCGCGTTACTGAGCATCGCGTTGTGTTTAATGGGAAAGTACTTTTTACAAATCTGCCATTAGTCCTTGATTGATTCTTTCAGTGACTTCAATCACGTTCGAAAATTAATCGTATAATTATGTTTCGTTTCAAGTTTGTAAATTTTCATTTTACTACGGTATTCAACAATGTATTTCAGTCTAAACATTTAAGGGCAGCCGTTTTCTCGAAGACAACTGTCTACTACTGAAAAAACTTCCCCTCGAGCTTCTTTTCCTGGCTCAATGGTAGAGCGTTTCCATCAGCCCATATTTAAAGTTTATAGATCAAACTTTTAAATATTGCTGACTCCAGGTTTATTTCTGATATATACTAAGTTTGTCAGGTTTTATCATTTCTCCAAGAAATAGAAAGAATTATTTCATTCACCTTCCATTGTGCATTCGATATCACGATGGACTTTATAAAATTTTCGAGTGCCTCATTTATTTCGTTACAACACACAAAATGTAGTTTCATTGATCGAAGACAGTAATTTTGTCCTTTCAAAATTTTTGACGAAGATATCGTCAAGGACTGGGCTTTCCATCTGTTTAAGCTAGAAATGAATGTGTTTTGTCCATAGTTTTAGTAACTGATTGAGGTGAGAATACAAATTATGGACGATCTTTGTGCAACGCCAAAAATAACTTTGGAATGTCCACCTATTTACTAGGGTTAAATGAGGATTATAGATTAGTGTGAGGAATTAGAATTTACAGTTAGACGTTAGGATTAAGAATTAGATTTAATTTTTTCATCACAAACTGACATCAGCTATAATGCCAAAATGATATTTAACCAACTGAGTGAATTAATTTCGCACCAAAATTCAAGACCTGGTATCTTAAATCTGATTGGTTCGTCCATAAATTATCGTCTTGTCAATACATGGTAATTAGCACAAACAATTATCTTCTGTTCTAAGACCTCTCTAAGTTATTTAGTAACTTTATTTTCGTTTGAATATTCAGCTTTGAATTTATTTTGATCTTTTAGAATTATAGTGACTTCACACATATATTTTTACGTACTCATCAACAAGACTTCATAGCATCTATCTGGTTTGATTAGTATTTTGGAAGTTCCTCAAGGAATTAAAATGGGCTCTAGTCATGATTGAATGAAGGTAGTAATGTAAATGGCGCTTGCTAAGAAAACTAAAGTCACTAATTTCGGTTCTAAGCAAGAATGTTCGTGGGCGCTAATTGATGAATTCCCATCCACTTGCCATTGGTTTGTAATAGTTCCCTAATTCACACAAATTTAGAATCTCAAAAGGGAATTAGTTAAATAGAAAGAAAAATTCGGATTCCATTGGTGATTAAGTACTTGAAATTCATAGGAATAGATTTTTCAATGTTCACTATAAAATATATACGTGATAATTACCATAAGATTATAAATATATATATTACTTAAACTCACTTGAAATAATCCAGTCAAAATACATACTGTTATAACAACAGTTAAACGAAAATCATCTATTTGTTTTTCATTAAAAATATCATATTTTTCTAAAGAATGATTGTTTACATCGAATAATGATGTTAATCTATCAACAGGATCAGCCGTTAAAAGTGAAACAACAGAAAATGTACCTATAAAAGTATAGAATTTCAATGCATTTCATATGGTAAATAAGTGATATTGAAAAGAAAATTTATTTATATTCCATGATCTTATAAATCGTCAAAAAAATAAAATATCTTATAATCAGATTGGTTGAAGTTAAACATGAACACCATTCGATGCCGGCCATTTCAGTGGTCTAAAGGTTAAGCGTTCGTGCGCGACACCGATAGGTTTTGGGTTCGAATCTCGTGAAGCGGCGTAGTGGGTGCGCACTGCTAAGTAGTCTTTTACCAGGATGAAACGACCGTCCAGTACTTCCAGGTTTTCCATGGTAGTCTAGCTTCAATTGACTCATGAATTCAATTATCAGATTATGCATGTAATAATTATGCAATGGCTAGGAGTACAAAAAGGATGTACAACAAAGACATAAAGACAATTGGAAATGTTTGTAAAAAAAACAACCATTCGGAGTATGAAGCAGGGAAAACAATGATCAGAGTGAATAACTTCTTATTGTGTCTTCTAAGATCTAGTATTCCTTAGACATACCTATTTTACTTAACTAGTCCCAGATTAAAGCACGATTTGGAAACAAACAAAAATATATTTCAGAATTCAAAATAATATAAGTTGATGTAGTAAGGACGTTCATGTATTTATAAAACTTACATAGGAATACTCCAGTGATTTTTCCAGATCATTTGGTAGCGCTGATTAGTTTAATAATGAACCAATGATTAGCTTTCAACTACAATATGAATGAATCACGATTCCATCCTGTTAACAGTTTTAATCCCTGTTTCAGTTTGGTCACCTGGGCAGTATTCCAGCCCACACACAAATCGAACGATTTATGTGGCGCATATCTATTTGGTGCCTCCTTGTATTAGGGAATGATGGTAAATCAGTTGATGAGGTTATGAATCTTCATCGACTGAGATGGTTGGGCCACGTGTTACGTATGCCTGAACACCGACTACCACGACGTGCAATGCTATCCGGTATTGGAGATGGTTGAAAGAAAGTTAGGGGCGGCCAAACCAAAACGTGGCATCAGTGCTTGAAGACACTAACTTCTAGTCTGAGCCATGTTGGTAGATGCAGACTACTTGTTTGGGGCCTGCTTGACTATCGTAACCAATGGTTGGAGACTTGGTGATATGGCTCAGAGTCGATCACAATGGCGTCGGTGTATACACTCCCTGTCTCCCCTTAAACTAAGAGATTAAAATCACTTCATATCTTTCTTTCTACGAACCAATTCTTTCTTCTTGTAGTATATCTCTATATGCAATCTTTCTCTTATATATTACCACCTTTGACCTAACCACTGCTATGAATCCGGTGTTCATCTCGTTGTGCTGATGCGGTATGGCAACCTGGACCGATGAACATATGTGCCTGGTCCTACTTTGTAGCTGACTGACTGACTGACTGACCTCCTTGTACCAATGTTTATGTGTTTAAATAAATAAATAAATAAACAATTTTAATCACCAGATGGTGAGTTCAACGGCTGGCTGAAATATTCGAGTTCAAACAGCTCAGTAGTATATCTAACTATCATAAAAAAAGTTGTCGCTTAAAGACGGGTTAATTAATTTCTACTAGATAAACAAATCATATTCATTAATGAGTGATTATGAACTAACAACTTGGTTACAAATCATTTTATAAAGTTCCAAAATCAATCGATGAAAAGTCTAACATAAATAACCAAATGACATAAACTCTATTATAATTTTTTTTAAAAACAAACATGATAACATAAAATGTAACCATGATATTAAAGTTATTTAATTGATCCTTTTATGTAGGATTATACTTTCAAAAGTAGTATTAAAACCTTTATGATAGACGAAATTTATTTTTTGTCAAATTTTCTATATTTAAAAATCTTAATGACATCTATAGAACATGAGTGATGTATACCTTTGATCGGTTATAACCATCCCACTGAACTTTGAGTATTGAATATAATATAATACACAAAATGGTAAGTAGTAATTGAATTACTATTCTTAGATATATCATCTATTTTATATTGACGCGACTCAATTAAATAAAAAGGGTAATGTTCAAAAGTCCCAATACTAACCGTTTTGAAAAGAAGTAAAGGGTATAATATATTTATTTTCCAGGTATGAATTCGTACTCGACTTTAAAAAACATCACTTATATATGAGGACTGATGCAAATACTCAGCTGTTAAAATCAAAATTTAAGAAGAGCGTCACATCTCAGGTCTATAGGTTGAATTACAAACCCTTTATCATTGACCTGTTGTTCAGCAAGAATATGTTACAATCGGTATAAGTGAACCATGGAAAAGAAAGCGATACTGAGTAATTATTACGAAATGTTGAGTATCAGACAAAGTTCATGGAAGTCACAAGGTCGAAGCTCCTTCTAACAATCAGACCAACAGTTAACATAGGTACACGGAAAGTCCATACAATGTGGGGGATCTGGAGGATCAGTCAAGTAGCTATGGAAATGAGCAGATACAACATGGAGGCTTTCGGCATAAGTGAAACCAATTAGACCCAAGCTGAACAGAAAACATTAGATTCGGAAGAGAGGCTGTTGTACTCAAGTCATCAAGAATAAAATGCTTTGCACACACTGAGTTGCACTGATGATGTACAAAGAATCAAGAAAAGCATCCATAAGATGGAAATCTCATGTATCCAAAATCGTGAATGTATCCTCCAAAACAAAGTAGAGGACCACAATGAATTTTATCCAATGCTATGCCCCCACCAATGATAGTCATGAGGACAATAAAGATCAGTTTTATGAGAAGCTACAGTCGATCGTACAGAAGTGCTCAGGAAACGACCTGACAACCATGATGGAGGACCTAAACGCCAAAGTCGGAATGGACAACACAGGGTACGAAGATATCATGGGACGACATGGACTGGCAGAAAAGAACAAGAATGATAAGAGATTTACAAACTTATGTATATTCAACAAAATAATTGTAAATAGCATTATATTCCCCCACAAACTTATAAACAAACGTACATGCGTCTCACCGAATCACATTACACAGAACAAGATCGATCATATTTGGATCACAGAGTCAGATCCATGGAGGATGTGAGAACAAGTAGAAAAGCTGACATGGTTTCGGATTATCACCTGGTGCTTGACACGATGGAAATTGAAGCTTAAAGAGCACTGGACAACTGGAGAAACAGCATTACAAAAGTTTAAAACAGCCTTCGAGATAATGACAAACTGAGAGAATTCAAAGTACCACATAGCAACATGTTCCAAGCTTTACAAGATCTACTCAAATGACAGGAATCTACTATGGAGAACAACTGGACACATATCAAAGAAGCACTAACTTCAACGTGTTAGGAGGTCCTGGACCGCAAGAAGCGTCATCATGAGGAAAGATCTCTATCGAAATCATGGGCCAAATTCAAAGAAAGAACAAGAAGACAGCAATAAGCAAAAACTGAACAAGAACAATGAAAGTCAAGGTACAAGCTGAATACACAGAAACAAACGAACGAGTGAAGAGCGTTAGAGCCAACAAGCAGAAATACGTGGAAGAGCTAGCAAAGACAGTGGAAAAAGCTTCAAGAGAAGGTAATATGAAACAATTATATGACACAATTAAGAAACTGGAAAGGAAATATAGTAAACCAGAGAGACTAGTCAACAACAAAGAAGACAACCCAATCACTGAAATTCAAAGACAGAGGAACACCTGGGTGCAACACTTCGTGGTGCTCTTAAATAGACCAGCCTCATTGAATCCACCGGATATCGAAGCAGCACCTATAGACCTTCTTATAGATAACACACCAATGATTAAAGAAATCAGCAAGACCTGAAAATATACCAGTCGAAGCACTAAAGTCAGGCACAGGCGTAACTTCATAGATAATCCACGTTCTATTCAGGGGAATTTGGGAGGAAGAACGAGTGTCAACAAACTGGAAATAAGGACACTTTATCAAGATCATCATTATCGAAGAAAGGGGATCGTTTGAGCACGTATGAGAACTAGAGAAGCACCACTTCACTATTAGTACGAGGAAACGTTTACAACAGGGTGTTACTGAACCGGATGAAAGATTCAGTAGAGGCCCAACTTTGAGATCAAAAGGTTGGATTCCGTATAGATCGGTTGTGTCCAAACCAAATTGTGATCATGAGAAAGCGTTTGACAGTGTGTATGGGAGAACCTTAGTAGACAATATGGTGTATCTGAGAAGATCATCGAAATCATCCGGGATTTATACGACAGACCACATTGCAAAGTTGTGCATGGAGGACAGCTCACAGATGGATTTCAAGTGGAGACCAGTGTTTGACAAGGCTGATTACTCTCACCCTTTATCTTCCTACTGGTGATCGACTGGTTTATGTAGATCTCCAAAACTCAGGAGGAGCATGGAATACAATGAACAGATTGGGTACAGCTAGACGATTTGGACTTTCCAGATGACCTAGCTATACTACTCCATGCACAGAAACAAATGTAGGTGAAGACAGCCAGTATGGCAGTAGCTTCTGCATCAGTAGGCCTCAATATAGGCAAGGGAAAGAGTAAGTTAATCAAATACGACACGGAGAACACCAACCCAGTCACACTTGGTCGAGAAACTCTAGGACAGGTGGATACTTTTACGTACCTGGATGCAGATGTAAAGGTAAGGATTAGTAAAACAAAGACAGCATTCCTACAATTGAAGAACATATGGGACTCAAAACAACTGTCAGCCAACATCGAAATCAGAATCATCAAAGCGAACGTCAAGACAGTTCTACTGTGAGGAGCTGAAACTTGGACAACTACTGCAACCATCATTTAAAATGTATTGGTATTTATAAACAACTCTCTACGCAAGACATTCAATATTCGTTGGCGGGATACCATCAGCGAAAACCTACTTTGCGATAGAACAAACCAACTACCAGACGAAGAGGAGATGAAGAAAATGTGCTGGACATGAGTAGGACATAGATTACGAAAATGATCAGGTGGTATCACGAGGCAAGCACTGACTTGGAATCCTGAAGAGAGACTGAAAATTGGAAGGCCAAAGGACATATTGCGTCGGGAATCGGAAGCAGACATCAGAAGAATGAATAGCAACTGGAAAGGATTGTCCAGGACAGAGTTGAATGGCGAATCCTGGTGGGCAGCCTATGCCCCTCCATGAGGGGTTATATGCATAAGTCAGTCGACTTTTTCTTTACAAACAGTCTAAACGAAGTTACGCCCATTCGTTGTTTGAAAACTCAGTCTCATGAACTTATGATAAATTCCATTTAAAAAGCTTATTTTCACAGCTTAAATGATATTGCTTGTATGTTATTTTACCAATCATTACTGTAAAACCCTATGGTGTATTATTGAAGTGTTATACCTCCTCATTCTACTTACTTGTTTTACACTTTAGATGTGAACATATACAAAGCTTTTAGTTTAAACGGTTAGAGTGTTGGCGACAATAAGTTGTTGTCTGTCAATGTATAGAGCGAAACAATGAAAAAATATTACTTTCAATAACTACTAAGGACAATGATTGTTTGACCGAATGTTTAAAAAGTATTGAATTATCAAGAATCCAGCCGTTAACTGATAAGTTACGTGTTCGCGTCACTACATATGTAGCATGGCTCAGAGCTGAGTATATAAAAATGTTTATACTGATTTATCTATCTAAAAGGTCATTTATAGTCCCAATAATTCAATGATGACATCACAGAATATGAATCTAGGTAGCGTGAAATTAAATTCCAAAGGAAGCATTAATCTCATCTAGACTACAAGTAAGCCTTCTCAAACAATGTTGAATAACACAGTTTCCTGAAAAATACCTCCAACTACACCTAACATCAACCTATGCTTGGTAAATGACTTTATTAAAATGTTAAAAAAGCCTACCTATAGAGACATGGCGTGAAGTCCCAAAAAAGAAGTAAATCAGAGCAGGAAAAAATGAGGTGTACAATCCATTGATTGGTTTTACTCCGGCCAAAACACCATATGCCATTCCTGTGATTTAAAAAGTTAGACTCAAACCAAAATACCAAACCTTGGGGTATATGGACTATTGAAAGTGTTAAGCCAGCAACCAGATCTGATAAAAATGATTGTAGGTTGTAAAAAGGAGCCAAAACAGAATAAAATGGGAAAACAAAGGATAGGAGGCTGGCGAATTTCGAACAAGTGCATTTTTTCAAAATCTTATATGGCGAAAATGATTTTTGTACTTCTGGCGATTTAGGATAGTGTTGTAGAAATTTGTCCATAGTATAAATTTCACGAGTTATGGAATATTTTCTTTCCAGTAGAGGATTATCAGCATCTTCATCACTAATTGACATCTAAAAAGCTTGAAGATAATGAGTGAATGAGATTACGAAAACTCAAATAAACAATGGTTATATGTAAGAAAACTATTTATTGGTCTATCAAGAAAGGAAGTATGCCGAAAAAAGTAGGACTATGCCAACACTTTCGCATAGCCTTCATCTGAAACTACTTATTACAATCTCCAAATATTTACCTACAACGATTCCAATGTAGCAATTTCCAAGTCCTTTTGAGAGTACATCAATGCATATAAATGATAGCAGCCACTTATGCGATGCAGCTTACTGAAATTCTGTGTGCCCTACAGTTTTAGTGGGTTTGTTAATTAGTGTTTAGAAGGCCCAGCTTTTAACCCACTTCAATTTGGAGAGTACAAGCTCTTGCCCCAAAACCGATCGCATATCCCTATAGTAAGACACGTCAGTTACACTGCTAAACTAGTAACTGACGGTTGGTCTTCTGTGAAGCACTCAAGAATTTCACCAAGTCATGAAGATCTAAACAAAATGATCACCCTTTATGCCTACATAATTTGAATCTACCCTTTAATGAAAAGAAGCTACGAATTCCAACTCAATAGTCCAGGGTTTTAGATGTATTATTAATTGAAACATCTCAGACGCGAAATACATGAATGAACCAACTATGGAAACTGCACAACAAAAAAACAAATCCATAACTAAATTCCGAACTACAAACGCGCGAAAAAATACTTACGGACAAACATTCGGCTGCAACAATTTTAATACCCACCTACTTCAAATAAAAAGCATATATGTGAACATTACGATCACTTAACGCATTGTAAGACATTTGCACTTAATCACGGTATATAATAAAACGAAAATATGAACAATTTGAAAAACGTTTTGGCGTTTTTTCACCAAATTTTTCTAGTGTCTTATAAGTAAAACTCTTAAAAGACTTAAATCAAAATACTTTGCTAAATTATTTAATTGGTCTTATCTAATGTCTGCAATTACTTGAAATTAAACTGTGAGCACCAAATACGCATTTTACTTTCAAATGGGAATGTAGTAGTACAACGAGTTCAGACCTAACCAGCGAACCAAAAATAGGAACACTGAAAGATTAGGAACAAATAAGAATAGTTAATATGTCCAAGATGTAAGTTATAAGAATGTAAACTTCGGACTTAAGTCCATGATTCGGTATTAAAGATCAACGATGTGTAATGTGAGATGTCATTTACAACTTTTCACGAATTGAGTGTCATTTCCCCTATAGCCGATGAATGGAACTCTAGCATATTTTTATTAAAGTCTCACGGTTCTCAACAAAACAAATTAATAAGATATTTTGAGCAAACAACAGAGAAGGCAAAATTCTTAAAAGCGAGAAGACTTCAACGACTTTATCGTGGCAAATCAAATAACAGCGCATATAAGTCTAATGTGAGTTAAACATAAAGGTACTGAAAACAACGTAATCTCCTAACGTCGCAAAGTCGAGAATCACAAATGTGGCGATCAAGAATTATGATAAGTGTGTCAATGAAAAAATCACGAACTAACAAGAGCAAAGATACATATTCGGTTATGCTAGATATAGTTTGAACAAACTGATTGACGGAATATATCTATTAGCCTATATATCAAAAAATCGAATGAAATAACTTCAAAGATAAAGTTCAAAAACATGGTGCCAAATACAAATAAAACGCGGATAATATTTTAGAAATTATCAAGCTAATAATAAACTTAATGATCAGTGTACACCAAATAACAGTTCTAATAGACTTCATGAGCATATAGAGCACATCTCAAATCAACGAACTCACCAAAAACACCACTTGAAATACCGCGAGATTTAAAGAATATTTATTGAAGTAACCAAACGCAGAGTTCATAGGTTCATATAATTCTGCACGAAATGGAAAACAATTTTACTCAAACAGTCTCCGTATCAAGCAGTGTGTCGCCGATATCTTCAGACATAGAAAATATGTATATTTAACAACAAAGAAAGAAATATTAGTATATTATTAACAAATATTGTCCTGAGATTCATCCTGGAATTCAACTAGGAAGTTATCTATACCACTTCATGTGACACTCAGCTTAGTGACTGTTTAATAAACTGCCAAAAAGTGCTCAGGATGTTCTTAGTTATTGAAAGCTCACCTCTCAGATACCTATGCTTTAGTTGGTACAGACCTGATCGCAGGATATCAAAAATTCTTGATCCAGTTCAACTTGGTACAATTCTAAAGGGGAATTACGTAAGTTGTGCGCTTAGCCTAAAGCATGACTCAGTTGGACTGCTTGAAGTGCTGAAGGTAAGTCCGATGTTTTTCACCCAACTTTGAAGTCAATTCTGATGATCTTGAAATGTCAATTTAAATTTTCGGTTGTAAAACGTCTCCCACAAAGTTTCACGTCATCAGAGAAAAGCAATTAATCAGATGACATTTGGTGGCGGATGTCTTTTGTACAAATTAGAAGGAGAAAAGATTCTTGTTCATAATCACAAAGGACCGCACCAAGACATTATGTTGCCTTAAAAGTCGAAAAATTAATCTTTATCTGAAAATGTCGATTAGTGTTTAGATGAAAATGGATTATCTGATAACATGTAGCCGAGACTGACTTCTTCATTTGCCAGAACTTTTTCGCAGACACATCAGGAAAAAGTTGATATTGCTCGACTAATTCTCAGCATTCATGTTACATGTCCTACGTGTTTGGTTATGATCTCTTGGGTCAAAAATGGTACTAGTGTTGATTAAGGACGAAGCAGATGTACATTAGGTCAGGCGAATGTTAGTTTTGCTTAAGCACCGTCCAAGTCAATCTGGTCAGATGTGTCAGTAGACTAACCTTATTACATGCGACTTGCCAAATGTAGAACATCATTATCCTATTGTATTAGTGTGAGTCATAACCTTTATTCATTCCGATAAAACACACAATACTGGTCGGTATGTTCGTGCCTTCTACCAAATGACTATGATTTCTTTAATTATTGTATAAATCAAAATATTTTGATGTTTAGAGACAAACAAAGTTTAAAGCCAAGTTGTCTTTGTTCAAACTACAGCTTTCACATAGACACTTACTCTCCAGTATCGCGTTTACAGCTCCATTAAAATATCCGTAGGACAAATTTAATCCTACCGAGAATACTCCTCATTCGTAACGTGCGTTAATGTAATAAAACCAAGTTAGTCCGAGAATCATATATGGACAGCTTTCATTTTATATGCATATAAAACAGGATTGTTTAAATCAGTTAATCTCTCTGACGGTATTTCATGAGTGTTCATGATTTCTTCCTCTTTTTAGTAGTCTTTTAGTGGCACATTCAAGTCAGCTGGGAGTCTTTAGCCGACGTTTGTTTATTGATTGCTGACTAAAAAGTACATCTGTAGTTTTTGTATTTCCTGCCGTTCGATCACAGTCTAGACCATCTGCATCATAGTTAATAAACCGTAACGACTAACGGCTTCTGGTGTCAAGATACAGAGGGTCAAAATTTAAAACATAACACAACACATGGGTTGTTCTAGCGAGCAGACAGTCGTAATTATTCGTTCTTCTTGAGTAAGGTGTATCGCTCACCTTATTCCTCACACGTCTTTAGCTTATATTTGCCTGACTATAAAGATTGAGCCACGCCTTATCAAACCAAGTTGGGTTGTTTACATTCTTCGCCTCGAATTTCTTATTATCGGTCAAGCGCAACGAGTTTATAAAACTCATTCTCGTTTTTTGTATCTAATTCCATCTCAAATCAAGTCAGTAATTACATATGAGGGTAGCCGGTATATATGGATTGTTAGCATCATCTTTTGGCTAAATGTGAGTTACATCAGAGGGCCATAAATAACTGAATATGTCTATAACTAGTACTTTTATTGGCGCTAGCTGGATAACCATAAGGAAACGAAGTTAACAACAGGAAACATTAACCTAGCTGCTGTTGAAACCGCTGTCACATGTAAACCACTAGTTTGTTCACGAAATGCGTTACAGACGATAAAGGAAGATCACGTCGAGGTATAATCTTTGACAAATTACTCAGTTCAATCATAAAACTTGAGTGAGGATGACAGTAGCCTCATAAGAATACTACTAAATTGACTACCGACAATGGGCAACAAATAGAATGTCCTGTTAGTTGCTACACCACTTAGATAGGAAAACCAACAAGTTAGAATGGGCTCCATTCCTGACACTTGCGATAAATTACTGCATTACTGTATTACTATTTTCATGAATCCAATCAATCAGTGAACTACCTTTATACTGGGACGATGAATTTTAACACAAGTTATAAAATATGATCGATATCGTTGCGACTTTATCACGTGATTTACCCGCCAACTGAAATACGAGTTATTCAAACTTAGTACTGTATTAAATCAATGACGATCGACCGGTATGAGCAGTTTAGCGTCCTCATTGATCCTTTGTTCGCCTATTCTGTCCACTTGAGTCCAGAACGCCAATAACAGCATCCACTATGTGAATCATTAATTTCAAACATATTTGGATTATGTACCGTCCAAACAGACCATATCACACTATAAAATAGAAAATAACATTTACACAAGACCAAGCCAAAAAGTGGCTGTGAACATGGGTGACGGTAATTAGTAAACTGAATGCAATATGAGAGTACAAAATCGCATAATAACAATCTATAGGTCGAAATGAAGCTTATAATAAAGGGAACCTAGGTATGTATAATCTAGTTACTGAGTAGTTATACAATAAGAATGTATATATCAGTCCATTATTAGATCCCAAAAGTAACCCGTAATTTAATCTTCACTAGGGTATAACAACTAGTGAGCTGCAGAAAAGCAAGTCTGTCCTGCATCGTAATTTAAAAGTTGACATCTAATGAGAGGTATTGAGAAACACCGATGTATGGGCATTCCAGCACAACCTGAAAGCCTTCTTAAGCTAGACTTAATTGTGATTATGCTTATTCAGACAGCTAATCGTCTGCAACATTTCGGAATCACAAGTCCCAACATGCATAAGATGCCAATAACAATAAATATTTACCAACACAGACGTTTATATATACACATATGCAAAGCCACACTTAGGTTCATGTCATGTCATTTTGTACAGAACCCAAGCTTTTAAGGTCTAATCAGACCTGTAAAATGTACGGACAGTGTAGCGGTAAATAAATCCCCAAAATAAATAGCACTAAGTTTTCGACATTGGATGCTGACCATATGTTTTAGTGGACTCACCTAGCTGAAGGCGCTCGGTCAGGCATCCGCACCAGATCACGTGTGGTAACGCCGTGCTCAACATCAACCGCAATCGCTAGCCAGATTAGATCAGAGAATTCCGATATATTGGTCATCGCCAAATATACTCTTCCGATCTCCTCGACTCTGTCTTTTGATTTCTCTGGGCGGGAACGAAATATATTAGAAGGTGTTACTGGTAGAAGCGTTGTCAAACACTGAATACCTGTGACATCATCAACAGCATACCAGTTCTGTGATTTACCGTGCTTAGTAGGATTTGACAATGTATGTCCTTTTAGTTGATTAAACTATGCAGTATGGGATACGAAGGATTGACTTCACGTATCCTCTCTTTCACCTTTAAATAGGTTAGGATAACTCAACAGACATGACAGTTGAGCGTAAATGAAAAAGAACAAATCTACCCACTGGGAGCCCATTACAGGAGGAAGTAATGTCCGCATCTTCTGTTGATTTACTTAGGAAGCATCATACAGCAAACAAAACTTAATAGGGATGAACCAATAAAATGCCTCGGCCCTTATTAGACTGGCCTGAGAAACTACATATCATCGATATTAGCTGTATTAAACTCCAAAACGAATGACCTGTCTCATTATGTAGAATTGCACATTTGACCGCCTATTAAGACGAAGCGAGATCTACTAAACAATGTCTACCGAACACACCAATCTACACTTGAGACTGCACAGAAGGCTTCAGCGTAAATTTGAAAAGTAGACGGCCGCATGCTTCGGCACGTCGCCAAGACTACAGCAGTAAATAACCCCGTCGTCTCGAGTTGACTTAAACATTCACCAATGATTCAGAACAAGTGAGTCTTACTGCAGCCTAACTATCTAGACTTCTGTGAGGTATCTGACTTTCATTCCATTCAACCTACCTCATACTCAACATAACTAGTCTCAAAGTTATACACCACGCCAATTCTGCATACAAGTAGAAAATACTCAATAATCCTACCCTTTACCTTTGGAATACTTTTTCGAAATAACTGGTCACCTAGTCCTGTCGAGTCTAAGAAACTTCTGAACTGTTTTCGAGCAAACCAAGGGAGCAAGAAGTAGTAGCTTATGTTCTCTAAAGTCCTCCAAATACCACGTTTGTCTGCTGTTTATTACTGGTTGAATCTTATCATGCAAGATTTAATTTACCAATTGACCTCAGTGACTCGATACCGTCTAAACTGTTCGAAGTTAGGTAGCGAGACGCAGCATGGCTGAAACTTAGGGTACTTAGTAGCCACTACTATCTGATACCTTCAGGGAATCGATGCTTTGCTTGGGATGGCAAAGTCAACCCCCAGAATAGTGTACGGACAACTCATTCTTCTCAAACTACGACGAAGTTGCCCATAGAGTTTCCTAGTTTCTCAAGTGACTGATATAAATTTGTGACAAAAACAATTCAAAACTAGTTACACTTCACACAAACCTCTCATGACTTATTCGATCTAATCGTTTCTATAAAACAGTTAAAACAACAGTGTTAGGAATAAAATAATAATTTTCATATGTATATTTTG